ATTAGAGCTGAGAAACCCTCTCCAGCTTTGAAATGACTCCTGGTCTTGCTGCACGTTATTCTTAAAGGAAACCAATTGCAATTTTTTCAGAGTGTGGGGGGCTGAATTTTCCATTTTTTCTGTCCACAGTTCAAACTAGGAGTGACATGTATATAAGTGTTTGATTTAGCATTGCCAAATTATATATTATGGCACCTGTAAAACTCTGCTTGCTGCCTTCTGGTCCTGCTTTGTGTGTACAACCTTTCAGTGATTTCATCAAGGTCAATATGCCTCTTTGCAGTGCATAAGTGGAACTGTAACTTGGTTTCCTTGTGTACAGAGGTAATAACTTGAGTGTCAGAGCTAGGGAGGAGAGTAGAGCTTAAATCATTCAGTGGTGTAGATTGTTTTGAAGATAAAAAGTGTTTGGTAAATTCTGAAAAATAAATAGCTAAACTCTGTTGTCCTTGATGAACGTGGTGCCTCTAACTGAGACACATCAGGTACGTATCTTGTCTTTGAAATTCCAATGTAATGGGTTTGGAAAGAAGGTAAATGCTCAGTTTTAGACAAAGAGAAAGCAAATCCATTGCAATCACTGTGCTGTCAGTTCCTGGTTGAGAAGGTTTGAGGGGAAATTGCAGCCTATGATAGGAAAAGTCTGTCAGGAAACGTGCAACTGTTGACAAGGTAGGAAGAAGAATTTGGCTAAAGAAATCTTGGTGGATGGGATTCCCCTCTTGAGATGTGGTTTGATTTCCTGCCTTGCCACAGACCACAGGTGAATGTGGAATTGGGGTGACAAGGCAAGTAGCCACATGTCAGTTGAGCAGCAATAGTTGTGGGTTTGCTCCTGATCTGTCAGAAATGGGAGGTGATGGTCATAAATGGGAGATAATGTGGAGTAACCTGGATTGCCATGAAGAGGGTGGTGTAAGGTAACATGTTTATTGTAACCCTCCTCCTCTTCAATCTAAGGCACTTTGCATTTCCTGCAAGGCAGGGATGCAGCTTCTGCTGGTGATGGTGACTCTGGCTCAGCTGGCACATGGTCAGCATGTTAAGCACAGTGAGCTGCGTGTCTGAGTCCAAAATCTCCCTGTGCTTCAACTCCCCATCTGTAAAATGGGGAAAGTAGCACAGTTCCATCTTACAGAGATGTTGGGAGGACAAATGCATTGAAAGCAGGAGGTGGCCTGTTACCACAGTAATGGGGACCATATGGACACCTTAATATAGAGATAGACTTTGCACCAGTCCCACATTACAGGTGCTTCCCCAGCACAGATGTCCAAAGGGCAGCCAGGCTCTGTGACCACCTCCTGCCTCTAAGAGCACTGCTTTTTCTGACACTCTTCTCCATATCAGCAAAAAAAAAAAAAAAATTCTGCAGAAAGGTAGTTCTGTTCTTTTCACTTATGAAATCATGTTTTGTGCCCACAAAATTTTGAAACCTGGCTCACAAAAGAGCAACACAAATAATGTTGCCGTCCTTCCCTTGTCCCTAATGCCATGTTCTCCACCCATCTTTCCGCTCTAGTAAGCAATGGGACCTGCTGTTCCTTTTATTAATTTGCTCTATGTCATATGTATATTAATATAGCCCATAAAATATTTTTGCCAGACAGTATAAGCTGGCAGACAAGAAAATAAAGAGGGGCCATGTATCTCAGAGGGTCGCATCCAGATTTATTTCTCTCTCCACTGAAAGTTCTTTGCAGCTTCCTTTGGGATGTGCCTTTTAAACAAGTTCATCTCTTCCAGGGAGGGAGGAAAGATCATTTGGAGATTGTTTGCTGTTTACTCAGTCACGCTAACTCATCTTGCCAGTTTTCTGGCGGCCCCAGCCAAGAGCTTTCGCCTCTGACAGCTTCTGTGCTCTCCCCTTCCTCCTCTGATTACGCAGCCCAATCTGTCACCCTGCCGACGGGGGTCTCTACCCTGCTGATGGCTTTCCACACTCGGCAGTAATGACTTTTGGCAGGCCGGGAAGGCGCGAGAGCTTCTTCCCCAGCTTGGAGAGCCGTTAGGCCCTCTCTGCCTGTTAGCTAAAGCACTTTGTGAGGTTCTTTGGTAAATAAATGAGTCATTTTAATCCAACTGACAGCCTGGCACCTGAGCAAGCTGCCTTCCATCTGTACTTCTAGGCCTCATGTAGGCAGCCAATTGTCAAGCTCAGGGCCTTCAAGACCTCACCATTGAGTGTCTTTCAAAAGCAAGTTTAGCAATTTCCTTTGCCCTAATTAGATTGTGTGAGAGGGACTGAGCAAACCAAGGCCCTTGCAAAACTTCTGTTGCCCTGTTGGTTCTGATCTTGTGCAGTGACAGGACCTGCTTTCAGCATGGCCCTTTTGCCCTCCATTCCCTGGCACCCACCACTGTACCCCATTCTTTGTACCCCATTCTCTTGGACCCACCCCTGTACCCCCCAACCAGAAGCACAGGCTGGTAACATGAATTGTTCAAAGCAGAAATTTCAGTCTTTCTAGCATCCCTCAGGTGGATTGTTCCTTGATCCTGTGCCCTTGTGTGCCTTGCAGTTGGGATCAGGGCAGGAATGTGATTAAGGCTTCAGGTTATTGTGTTTGCTTGGCATCTGGGCTTTCTTTAAAATTGTGCTGGTGTAGGTTTTTGGTTTTTTTCTCCCATGAGATGGTCACTGAAGAATTGGCCCTTCCTTTGCCCATGAACAGGAGGCAGCAGTGACCTTCTGAGGTGTCATATCCTTGATTTCCCTGTAATTAAGGAATGGTGGTGTGAGGTCACACATGGAAGGAGCAGTGCCATCTGAGGCAGTGGGAAAGAGGGAAGAGTGGTACGTTGAAAATCTCTTGGGCTTCTTGAAAGAGTACTGGTAGCAAGTTAGTGCTTCTGTGAGTGGAATAAATGTAAAACTGGATGGTTGTTTTTTGAGTTGTGTTCTCTCTCCTGGAAAGGTGACCCACAAATATTTTTTCTAAAATTCTGAGAAGCTGAAACTCATGGGCTCTGTCAGCAGAGGAAAACAAATCAACTCAGACTTTTTACCCTAGTCCTACCTTGCTGCTTTCTACCAGGGTCTTTGAGGAAAAGGAGCTGGAGGAGACACAGGTGGACTGGTACTGAGGAATCTTTGAGTTTGCAAAACACTCCAATTACCAGTAAATCCCAAGAGACTTGTGAAAGAGAGCCAAGGGAACCCCCAGGAGAGTAGCTGCTGCTGTGTGTCAGTAACGACTGAGTGGAGTTGGTGGCACTGTGAAAGTGATCATGAATGCAAGGCTGGTGATGGGAGAATGCCTTCTCCTAAAATGTTTTCCCTGGCTATTTATGAGGCTTTTGGTGAACCTTTTATGCTTGGGCAAATGTACATGAAAGTGCTGACTGTGGCAGTGATTTTCCAAGCTGAGATGTTGAGAAAATTATGGAAGAGTAGGGAAAGAATCTGGATGGATGAGAGGGATGGCTCCTGCCCATGCTGTCCACTCCTTCTCATGTTAGAGATGCTCCAGACCACAGGGGTGTCTTGGTTGTTGGTTTATTTTGGGGAAACTGCCCTGTCCCAAGGTCAGAGCCCTCTCCTCAGACAGCCTTTCCTTGGCTCCTGAGTGTGAGGAAGAGCACAGTAAGGGAAAAGACCAAAGCCCTGTCAGTGTGGAAGAATAGAGACAGCCAGCTCGGAATCAGCCGTCAGCGCTCCTGTCTGATCGTGCTGTAGAGTTTATAGTCTTGTTATCCTGGTAACTGCTGTACATGCTTCCCAACTTCCCTTGATTTATTTTCTCCAGCCTCCTTTAAATGGCTTTTTGTACATCTGTTCATTCTGACTCTAGGAACAAGTCACTCCTTAATGAGCGTGTTGGAGCACGAGTGTGCATTATTTCGGAGTGGGCGCTGTGGAAAGTGTCTCCTCTTTTACTGCAGTTGGAGCCACATAACAGCCTGGTTAGTGCTTATGGGAAGGCCTTTGCTGCCAAAACATCAGCTTCACATTCTTTTAACGTGTGTGAGAGTTGCATGAAAACACTTCAGTGGGTGGCTGACACATTTTTAGTACATTAAGCTCCTGCTTATGTCCTTAATATATTCTATTTTGCAACTAGCTAAAAGATACATGTGTTGCAAAACATTTCCTAACAGAGTTAAATCTGAACACCTGCTCTGCTATTGTGCCTGGTGAATGTGAAATCCAAGAAGTATGTGAGGACATTACTAATGAACAGAAAATCAAGAAGGGAGATTGAAATGTGTTTGCACTCTCTGTTTTGGATAGTATTTAAACTCTCGTTCTTTTGGAAGGGGTATGTTTTTGGAGCTATGCTGGCTGTGGATAACTGAAGGGTCTCATTCAAGTCCTTCTCCAAGTTGGTGGGTTTTCTCACCAGCTGGCACATCAAATAACACCTTGATAGCAGCTTCAGACTCTTTTCTTCACGGCTGCATTTTGTTTCTCCAAATCAAACCAGACTGGTGCAAATCTAAGGCATAGCTGAAGTCCCCTCTCCTGGAGCTGTGCTCCAGCTTCCTGCAGATTCTGCTAAATTGTTTATTGGCCTTTTATTTTAGGGCCAGATGACCTGCAAGTCATCTGCTCCTCAACTTCAGACCATCACCTAGGAAACAGCTAATTATTTGTAGGCAGAGGTCAGTGTATCTTTGGACGTTCCACCCAAGGCCAGGGATTCTTGACCATTGGCCTTTTTTTTTTTTTTTTTCATTTTCATCATAAGCAGCCTGGTTTTAGTACTTAGATTTGCTGTGGAGAAAGGTGTGCTCAAAACTAGTGCTGCCTTTCAGAGATTTAATTCTACTTCTCTGTGTTTGGGTAGTAGGTGCCCATGAGCAGATCTCTTTCCATCAATGAAACAAACTGAAGAACCAAGGTACCACTACCTTTTACACAGTGGATTCTCTCAGATACAACGCAAAGGGGTTGTAGCAAAATGCTGTAATTCAACACCACCATCCTGAAATAGGTGTTTGTATCCTCCAGGCTTTGGGCCATAGTAGTGGATCATTTTTGATGGCGTTAGTCTGCTAACAATCCTTCAATTTTAAACCCTCAATGTTATTTCTGACCTTCAGTCCATCTCTCCCCAAATTAGACACATAAAATTCCTACTTACACAGCCACTTGCTTTCAGACATAATTGCCATCCCAGAAGACTCCTCACTCTGCTGGTACCTCCAAAGGATTTTTACTAAAGTGATTTTCTTATTAATTTTAAAGGATGTAGCAGCACGGGGGCTGGACCTGCCTCAAGTGACCTGGATTGTACAGGTGGGTTTGCTCTGTGTGTTTTAAGTGCAGCCTTGCTCAGAAGAAATCGATTCTCAGTCCAGAACCTTCCTGCAGTTTGCTGGTTCCTGCAGATGGGAGAGACCTACAAGTTCCTGACTGCAGGACTGTGGCTCTGGGTTTTGCCAGGATAAAGCATTGCTATGATAGCCTTGGTCTGTTTTTAATTACTCTGGCATTACCAGAGTTTCTCCTGGCTGGAGATGAAACACCCTCCCTTTCCTCACCCAGGAAACCAAATTTTGTTTGGTTGAAATCCTGGTCATCTCTTGCAGTTTTGTTCCTGTTTTCCTGAGCTTGCTGGGGAGGCAGTTCCATGAGGAGTTTAAGTGCATTCCTAATTTTAAACATTGAGTAGCCCAGTAGTGTCAGTGCAGTGACCTGAGTGTTTTGAGTGAGGCTTGGCTGGGTTGGGGCTGAGTAGCTGCAGGCATCCAGTAAAACTGTGTGGTTCAGACTATCCCTGAAAAAAACGTGCCCAACAAAACCCCACACTGCTGCATTGCTGTCGACAGAAATATAGTCCTAGGGAAAAAAAATAGAAACAAAGGAAGATGGATTGAACCTTAAAAATAGCAGCCTGTCGTTTCAAAGAGGAGGCTGAGAGCATGAGACAGATTTCATTTCTATAAAAGATTTATAATTAAAAAAAGGTTAGTTGAATAGAGGAAAAACTGATCCAGAGATTCACATGTATCAAGTGACACCTGAGTAAAAGGAACAGGGCACAGAGCCTCAACAAAGCTTTTTAATTTCTACCTCATCCCTTCAGGTAACAAATTTGATTTGATTTTTTGTGTTTTTTTAAGAAAGAATGGTATTGTAGCAGCCAGCTAGTTGAAGAAGGCTGTGGAAGTGAAGTCTTTAATTCCCAGATCTGTATATTAATATAATTTAACCAAAGATATAGTTGCCAGTATTAGAACGCAGTGCAAATTACCTAAAGCCCTGGGAGACTTCTGTGTGTCCAGAAGGTGAAATCTCAGCTGTCCTGAGAGCTGTGTCCAAGAGCAAGGACCTGCAGGGAGCAATTAGATTGCTCACAGCATCTTACTCACACCTCTAGCCAGTAGAAACTTTGCCAGAGGGCACAGGTATAAACACTAGAGTGGGCTTTGGTTGTTGATTTTTTTCCAGTTAAACTGCTGAGGGCTCATTTCTGAGCAGTATCCCTGTGCTTGTTCATTTTTTCCAGGAAAGAGAGGAAGCGGGGGAAAGAATAGGGGGAGGTTAAAGGGAGGGAAATGTGTCACCCTTTATCAGATCTTGCAAATGGCTGGGCAGTTTTGATTCCCAGTGAAGTAAATGAGAGTCACTGCTATATCTGGGAGGTCTTTAAGGAACATTTTCATGGTGCCTGGTAGTTGGACAGGGGAAGACAGTTGCTACCTGTATCATAGACTGCTGAAAGCACTCCCTCCTCTCTCTTAGATTTATTCTACCCTGTAACCAGCTATGATTTGCTTTAATCCAAACAAAGCAATTTAGCCCAACTCAAAATTTGCATCAATTTTTTTTTTTTTATTTTGTGATTTTTCTCCCACATGCAGAGCAGGCAGCTCCCTGCTCCATGTGGGCAGTCCTGGGCGCTCTTTAGTGTGAGATTTAATTAGATTAGATTTTTTTTTTTTTAGGGGAAGTGAACAGGTTTCTGTTTAGAAATAAAATGTAAAAGGCAGAGAGAGACACTGAGATGGGGAAGCTGTCCTATTATCTGAAAGTTGGCCAATGTGTGACATCCACATGTCAAAAAGCTGCTGCAGCTGAGAGGCTGAGTGATGGTTCCGGGGATGAGGTGTGTTACAAACAGCCCAGTTCCTCGGGAGGTGCAGCCTGTGGGGTGTGTGTGTGTGCCTTTTGTTCCAGGTGAGAGGGCTGGGTATCTCGTTTATAATTAACATCCTGTTAATTCCTCTTTTCCCCTTCCTGAAGTACAACGCTCCGGCTTCACCTGCGGAATACATCCACAGGATCGGGAGGACGGCGCGCATCGGCTGCCGTGGGAGCAGCCTGCTCGTGCTGGCGCCTTCGGAGGCAGAATATGTCAGCTTGCTGGCTTCTCACAAGATTAAGTGAGTCAGAAACGCGAACAAAAGTTTCAGCTCATCCTTGCTAATTAACCTTCTGTGGCACTTTCAGCGGGACTGTGTCTCGTGCAGGTTTTAATAAGAATTTATTAATTCTTGTGATCCAGGCCTGGCCCCAGACTAGCAAAAGGAGAAGAGGGAAGAGTGTGAAAATCATCAGCCTGACAGGTTGTGCATGAGTGAGTGTATGTGGTGAGGGGCACGGAGGAGACGATCGTCGGAGATCCTTTGCACTCCATTGTTTTCTCTCTGGCCCCGGGTTCAAATCGTGACTGTGTGGAGATCACAAGTCAAACGAGCCTGTCAGGTGCTGCCTGGCCCTCTGCCTGTGTGGCACCACCTTGTCATGTTGGGCTGTGCTGGCCCTTTGGGAGAGATCCAGGGAAGAAATTGCTGGGGAGCTGTGAGTCGTATCTGCAGTTATTTGACCAAGATGTGTTGTTTAAGTGGCTTGTGGCAGGAATAGGTAAGGTTTTGGCAAGTGGTGAGAGCCCAGTGTGGTCCTGGAAGGCAAAAAGGGAGGCTGGACTCCGCAGAACTAAAGTGGGGTGTGCTTCCAAGCCCAAGAAGGCTCCTCTTACCTGGCTCTGCTTTGGACTTGGGAGTAGCAGCAAGGAGAGCAAGCCAGGCTTGGTAAGGACCAGCCCAGTGTGCAGTCAGGTACCTGATGGCTGACACATGATGAGATTTTAGTCCAGCTCTGCTTGCACAATGGTTCTTTTGTGGAGAAAACCCACAACTGGCTGCTCAGCATCGCTAGGCAGGATCTCCAGCCTCCTCAGCAGCCAGCTGGGTGTTTGTGCCTCCCCTTGCTCCCTGCTCTGCTGTCTCTCAGCATTTGAGAACATCAGCAGCGTCCCTTCAGTGTTGTAGCAGTGTTGATGGAGCCCTGTAAACTCATGCACAAATTAGTTCCCTTTTATTTCTTGTATTTCTGTCGGGTGGAGCTGCTTGGAATCGAATTTGGTTTTGCATCCTTGAAACAAACAATTGTTGGCAGTAAATACAGCCTTATTCTAGGCTGTGAGCCATTTAGTGGTCTAACAAAGAGCCATCCATCATCCCAGGTAACTATCTATTAAGCAGACACCAGCAAGACATGGAAGGCTAAGCTGACAGGGTTTTTTTTCATGTAACAAACAGCACTGACATTTAAAGGTGAAATCCCACATAATTGTGAATTTTTAACTCCAAGTAGAAAGTTCTGTTTTTCTATTCTATAATATTTTGGTAGTGGTAGAGGAAGGAGAGGGAAATTTCCTTCCTTTTTATTTTAAATGTTAGTGCTTTTATCCAATGTTGTTGTTTTTTAACAAGTTTAGGGAAGTGTCACTCAGACTGGTAATTACATCTGCTAAAGAGACCTGTTGTAGAGCTGGCCATGGTCTTCAGGAATCTTGAAGACTCGGAATAAGCAGGGGGAGGTTTATGTGAATTTATTTTTCTTTCGCTTTTCGGAGCCAAACAACTCTGGGGATTGCCTTTTCTTGTTTTGTTTGCTTGTTTTATGTTCTGCAGATGAAGGACTTGCCAGAAAGGAGTGTAATTTGCCTTCCTTGACCCCTATCCTTAGAGGGAAGGCAGTGAGTGCCTGACGGGCATGGGGGTGATCTGGCCTCTCCGCTCTTCCCACATGGATGAGGAGAAGGGGCATTGGGACAGAGCAGGGAGCTGATGAATTACTGAGAAGATGTAGGAAGGCAGCTTGAAGCTCAAGGCAGCAAGTGCCATCAGCACAAATTGCTGTTACCCTTCATAAACAGAGCATTATGGTGATAATCCTGACAATTTAATTCAGTGCAAGGGCGAGAGACAGCGTGTGTTGGACTGTCACCGAGCCTCTTAAGCACTGCTCATTTCTGTTCCTTTACCCTAAGTCTTTGTAGCTTTTGACTTGGTCTGCCCAAGCTACTGGAGTTTGCTTTATTTTTTTAATTCTTAGCTTAATTTTTAAATCCCTTGAGTTTTTGTTGAGAATGAGTGTGTGGTGTGAATGTTGTTTTTTTTTTTAATTTGTTGGGGTTTTTATTCCTTTCTTAAATGAAATTCCCGCTGGGTTTATTGAAATGTAAATACTTCATAAAATATGTATTTTGAAGAGACAAAGCATGAGATGTGTCCCCACAGCCTTCAGCTGGTGTAAATGAGCAGCGCTCTGCTGGTTTACAGGGGATGAGGATCTGACCCAGAGTTTTTTCCTAAACCCCTCCACCCACCCCAGCATGCATGGGAGTAAGTCCAGGAATGTTGAGAGTCGGAAGTAATGAGAGCAGACGTGGCTTTGTTCCTGGATGAAAATCCACTTCGGAATTAGAGATGACTGCCTTTGAAATTGGAAATCGCTCGCAATTAATTTTCACCGGTACCTGAAGCCTCTCCTTGGCTTCCAGTGTGGAAAAGCTGTGTTAGCCTTTGCCAAAACGATCTCACTTTGGCTCTGCTGAGATCAGTAATTCCTGTTGGGGCTCAGCAGAGCTGCCTCCTCTCTCTGCAACTTTCTGTTTGGGCTTTGTGTGGCTGGAAGTTGTGGCTGCCTTGCCCAGCTGTAAATGTGGATGTGCAGGCACGTGCACACTCATGTTTTCTTTACATTCCCTCTTTCCTTTTTTTTTTTTTTAAAAAAAAAATCAGACTCCAAAATGTCCTGTATCAGCTCCAAGCACAACTAACAGATTTCCCTTCAAAGGGAGGAGGCAACAAGCAGAAGAAATGCGAGGTTCACTTTTTTTTTTCCTTTATGTCTCTTCTAGTCCCTTCAGCTGCAATCTCGCAGCGCCTGCCTCAACAGCTATCAGATAATTTCTTTATCTGCTAACAGCGGCCTAACTAATTTATAAAGGAAGTGGCATCACCGTGAAGGCACGAGTCATTTCCCTCCCTGCTCTGGGGTTTTGCTGTTCCCCCCTCCCAACTCCCTCGCCTGCTTCCCGCTGTGAACCCAGTTCAGGGATCTGTTTCTGGCGACGCGCCAGGCAAGGGGAGGACCCGAGAGGGGGTGACAACTCCGACAAATCAATGTCAAAGGTTTGACATTTTCATTCATAGCCGTGTCTAAGCAACCTTTGCAGGGGAAGGGGGAGGTCTGCTTTCCTCTTGCTTAAGTGGTTGCCATTTATGTTTTAATTTGCTGTTATACTTTTCAAAACCAAACAGAGAAACCCTCGGTTGTCGTTTTATGCTCCATTTCCCTTTCTCCCCCATGGCTCTCCCGCCTTTCTCTGCATCTTCTGTGAAGAAATTTGTGCATGGGATGACCCAGCTGCACATGGAGGGGCTGCTCTCCCTTCTAGGGTATCTTATGGCCACTCTGGCCCATCCCTTCCAAGCTGGATGGCTGTTCTTCTGCACCTTCTCCTTTATTACACTGTGATGCTGAGTTGGCTGAGGTTGAAAAGGCAGGTTGCAAAAGTAAGGGTATTTTTTACTTTAACTGGGAAGGGTGGAGAGCAGGTGAAGATCACAATATCGTGTCACACAGTGTGGCATTCATCCATTCCTGCTAGCCAGGTGTTAGAGAGCTTGGAGTGAAAAGAAGATATCTTTGTTGTTATAGTTTGTTTCTGTACTTTACAAATTGAAGAATACCAGAAATGCTTTCTTTCAGAAGCCAGAGGCAGCTTTCTGACCATCTGAGATTCAGGAATCTGAGAACTGTTGGACCCCAAAGATTTCTCTTTTCCTTAGATTGGTTTAATCCCAAGTGAACTCCTTGACTTATTTTCTAGACATGACCTTTGCCCATTACTGAAAATTTGGGCCCACAGACATCAGCTTTTATGATCTGAGTAATTCCCTTGAAAATGGGACCCAGTTTGGATGCAGATGTAATATTAATGGCCTGGAGCTGCACAGCTGTTCCTGAGCTGTCACCTGGGGTATGTGTGCCCCTTAAGACAGTGTTAAAGAGGACAAAGAATTCCTAGTCTCCTGTAAATGCACCTTTAAGCAGGACTGCTCACTTGGAAATGAAGCAGGTTTGTAAGCATTTCCGTATCTGGGCCATAGCAGGACCCAGCAGTGTTTTGCAAGCAGGACTGGAGAATAAATCATCTGGTTGAGCCTACAGGAGGAATGTGAGTCGACAGAATGAAAATAAATGCCCAGTGTGAAGCCTGGCTAGGACAGCTGACTGAGTCTCCTGTATTTAAAAATAAATAAATAAAAAAATGCTGTGGAGTCCCTAATGGGCTGGGCTTTGGCTTTGCACTTCAGATGAGAGTGGAGGTGAGTTGTCAGAGCAGGGAAGGAAATCAAACTGTGTGTCTGGTGTCAGAGGTGGCTTTTGAGGCTGTAAATGAATTGGAGGGTGAGTTTGTCCAATGGGAAGTGCCTCTGAGCTTGATCTGAGAGAGGTAGCAAGGAGTGGGAACCAGGTAGCATCCTGGGGGAAAGGAAGAGTGATGATGTGATCACAGGGAAGGAGGCTGCAGGAGAATTGGCTGATAGGAAAAGTTCCTTGGGGTTTTGTTGTTACCCTCTGAGCTTGAGTTACTATGAGGAGCTGTGTCTTTGCATACCTTTAGTTTTGGCTCTTTGGTTTTGTGAGCATGGAAACACGGGTGGAAACAATGTGTGTAAACATGAAGTATCATCCTTTGAATGAGGGTTGAGCACTGTGTCTCATTCCAGAGACTCTGGAAGCTAAACTGGAGGAAACAAGATGTAGCTGGAGTAGCAAACCAAGTGGAGCAAACAAGAGTAGCAAACAAGGTGTTTCCAACCTGTGGGTGCCTCAGTCAGTCTCTTTCTCACAGTTGCACAACCATGTACAGTTGCTCTTGCCCATGGCATTGGCTGAAAAAAGAAATGTTGGACAACCCCTGGGCTCAAGGTGGAGGTTGCAGATCTTATTCTTTATAGTTACAAAACAAATTTACAAGGAGCTGATTCAGCTCTGTCTTGAGTTTTGTTTGGAGAAAAGAATAACCAGGTGCTTCCCAATTGTTCTGATGCTTCTCAGTGCAAGGAAAGAAAAATTATGAAAATAATGGAAGTGTAATCCAATTTATTTCTTTAACCAGTTCTTGTCTGAGAGCCAAGGACACTTCCAGAGAATGGAAAGTCCACCCTCAGTTATTTTGATGCTCTGCTAGAGTTGGAGTGTCTATGTTGGTGACTTAAAACAGTGACAAAATTGTGGATGAAACTGTGTCTCTGTGCCACTGAAAGCAGGAGTTTGGATTTTACAGTAGTTCCACTTTCAGGGGTGATGAGGGAGTATCTGGGCTAAGACCTTGTGTATTTCAGGAATGAATTCTCAAGCTGAACTGTGAATCTCAGTTGTTTTGTTCTCCATTACCAGTCTGTGGCTCATTCCACGCTGTGTTTCAAAGTAGGAGAAACAGTAATTTTTTTTGTCTTTGTTGCTTCAGTGTTTCAGAGCTGAAGATGGAGAAGGTGTTAGCAGTCCTGATGAAAGATGATCGTTTCAAGGTGCACAGACCAGGAAGCAGGGTGAGTTATTCTGCTGCTTTGGAACTGCTGCAGTTTTCACTTGCCAGTTCAACATCACAAGTTTTCCTGCCTTAGCATCTGTCTTTACATCCATGATGTCAGACAGTGTAAATAATTATAGAACTACTTTATATCACAATTTTTCAGTCTTTTGTTGTTCCTGGAAAGCAGTTGCTTGCTAACTCTTCAGCAAATAGCTTTGCAACAGACAGGAAAGGTTTCTGGATGCAAAAGCTCTGTGTTTCTTCCTGCACAAGGTTTCTGTTTTTCCTGTGTTTTCTGCACTAAAATACTGTTGGAGATGACAAATGGCTCTAAACTTCTCTGAAGAAATGAGGGAAATGCATTTGGTGATGTGTTACATGTGGGTTTTTATCATCTGTATTTACTTGGAGCCTAAAACAAAGCTCCCTGGGTTGACAGGCACCTTTCTATTGATTTGGGCAAGCTTTGGGTCTGCCTCAAGTTGCTAATTCACAGAATTCACTCATTTGCAATTGACGTCTCGGGTGTTGCTGTGCTCTGGCAAATTAAATCCTGCAAGAACCCGCATTTTGAATGGAAGTCAAGAATGTGTCAAGCATGATGCAGCATGCACTCTTTTTTGCCTCTTGTTGCTGTTTTGCCTGCCCGTGCTTTTGTTACCCGTGTCTGAGGCGCCTTGTTCCCGGTGCTGGCTGGTGGGAGCTGTGGTGTTCCTGGTAACCGTGGTCTGTGAAAGATGTTCAGTGTTCCTGCACCTCACAGACAGCCAGATCTGAGCTCTGCTGAGATGCTGCTCTATTTAAAGCTCTCTCCCACCACTGTTTTTGGCTGAAATCAGCCTGTAATGCCTGTGTTTTAAATGTCTGGATCATGGCTAGGTTATCACCTCATAACAAAGTTCAATTGTGCTCTGTTAGTGCAGAAATTATTTTAAATAGGTCCATGTAAAAATACTTTCCTTTTGTCCCAAATGTGATTAAAGGGGCAGTAAGTTCAGTTTTCCTTTGAAGATTTTTTCAACAATTCCATTTGTGAAGAAATTGTACTTTAAATGTTACTGACATAGGACAGAATATTTGCTGTTCCAGATGTGGGGACAAATGTTATTTCATGGGAAATGGGCAAAAAAGAGAACATGTTTTGTTCCAGGAAATGATGATTTAAGTTTTGAAAAGTGGCAGGAGAAAATGCCTTTTTAGCAACAAAAACCTAACCAAGCCTGTTTGCTACCAAAACTGATCAGTTTGGTATTTCTGCCATGCTTCCAAATTGTCAAATGCTCTACACATTTAAACACAGAATTTTTAAAATACACTTTTTTTGGCTTTCTCCCTTTCCTTACAAAAAGCTCTAAACCCAGCCCCTCTTTGAAAGGTTTGGGCAGTGCTGCTGGGCAGGCCCTGCCATGCCAGGTGCTGCACACTGGAACTTGCACAGAAGGACTTGGTTCCTTCTGCTTTCAAAGGTAGGATTAAATTCCTCTTTTCCCTCTGACATCAAAGCAAGTGGGATTTTGCTGTTGACTTCAGTGGAGCTGAGATCCATCCACTGTGATTGTAGGATGGTTTTAATCTCTTGCAGGAAATTAGAAATACAGAATAACCAGTTTTTATGTAACTCAATCTGAAAGAATTGGGATTTAAGAATAGAGTTTCTCTTTATGGTAAAAATTCTGTAGCATTTAATGGGGATGGAATGATAGCAGTTCTGTCAGTATGAAATAGACTCCTTCAGGAATTACTTGAAAAATATATTAATGCAATCAAGGAGTTGTGTTTGTTAGCTCCATGTTTTATATTGCCATGGAGGCTCTGAGTGGTCAGCTCAGAAACTGCAGGGGCAATTCCCAAGTTTTCAGGAGGGTTAATCTCTATTAAATTCCCTAAATTTGCCACATGGACATACAATAAGCTGGGAGTGCAGTGGGACAGGGAGGGATTGAGGAGGTGTCAGGAGGAGCTGAACCTGATGCCATTGGGACATTGCCATTGGAGGGAGGTTCAGCTCTGCTCTCAGCTCTGCATGCTCTGAGTCATGTATATATTATAGTTCTGCACACAGGAACCTCATTATGATGCTCTTCAGTTCTCATTGCCTCAGCTCAAGTCCATTAGAAGTACCAAGTTGGAACATGTATTTTTTGGGCTTCTGTGTGCAGCCAGGGAGCAAGCTGAAGTGCCTGTAAAATGTATATTTTATATTTAGGTATATGAAATATATATGTGGCTATGTCTGGGCGTGTGAATGTTCACCTGCCTACAAAGAGAATAAATCTGATCTTTCAACTTTTATGGAGGGGGGCAAGGGGGACTTGGTGAGTTCTAGAGAAGGTGTGTGGAGGTGAGTAAAAAGTTGTTATTAAAACAAAATCCTTCATTTTGTTTTGAAGTATAATGGAAGCAGGAGATGTTACAGCCAGGCTTTTTGGTGGGTTTTCCCCATCTTTTTTTTTTTTTTTTTTTTCCTTTTTTAAGAATGAACTTTTCTACCTCACCTAGTCTTACTATGTTTCAATTTTTATTTTTTTCCATTATCCTGCTCTCTTAATGAAATCAGAAGTTTTCAGTATTTATCCCAACCTCTCAAACCTAAAACCTGCCATCTTTATCACTGGAAGTTGCCTTCTTCTGTCAGAAATCCATGTATCTTTTCCTGGTGGAGCTGGAATTTTTGGGAGTTCCCCTGGTGTCTCAAACTGGTTAAGTAACGTTGCACCCTGATTTTTTTCTCATGCATTTCTTCTTTTAGCTTATAAATATTGTTATTGTCGACAGTCATTATGCCAGTGGTTTGGGATCTGCCAGAACAGGCTTTTAAGGAATCACAAGGCAGAAAAAGTTCTCCTATCCCACTGTTTCTCAGTGATGGCAACAGTGCTCCTTATTTAACAGAGGGAACAAATTTAGATGGTGGGCAGATCAAGCAAATCTCTGGGGTAGGCTTTTATCTTTGGGGTCTTGGAAAAATGTGCAAGGTCTCAAATTAATTGTCCTGCTCATCCAAATCAGGATTAAAGCTTGCCTGTGTGAGTAAAGCACATGGAATGGCTTCCATGCCCTTCCAGTAGCGCTGATTTATTTAATCTGTCCAGACACTCAATCATGGGCAGGTTTTATTTTCACAGTTTGTCTCTGAGTCAGTTTTAAATTTAGATTTTTTTTTTTTATTATTGGGGTGGGTTTTTGTTTTGTTTTTTTTTAGATGAACCTCCCTGGAAGACAGGAATCAAACAGGGGTTTTTTCATGCCCATTAGGGTGCAATTTTAAAATGAGATCTGTCTCAAGGGTCTGAAGGGAATAAAAGACAAGGTGGAGATAGGAGGGGAGAAGCTGTTTTCTGAGGACATTATATTTCCTGCCATTTGCTTTTTTTTTATTTATATCTCTTGCAGTGACCTCACACTTTGAAAATTATGCATCTAGTTTTTTATCCCTCATTTTTGTCTCACTTTTTTTTTTTTTTAGTTTTTTATTTTCCCCCAGCACCAGGAAGAAGAGATGCCGCATTTTGAAACCTAAAGGGGGGAATAAGAAAAGTCCTTTGTAATATATTGCCATATTATCACTAAATCCCCTGACAGTTGTGACACAGAAGCAAGTCACCTGTCACTTAAGCTTGAGGTCTCTTTAATTTTCTCCTGGAATTCGCACCAGGCTGTCTTTAATTTGAGGCCTTTATTGGAATTCTGAAACCTTTCTGCCTCCCCGGTGCTCAGATCTATTCTGAGTGCTGTTACAGAATGTATACAATAACCAACACAGGGATTCAGAGGGGGCTGAAGCACTGTTTATTTAACACTCTGGAGGGATTTTCGTGCTTATTCAGTCCTGGCTACCCAGCTTTCAATATCGCTTTGACAACCGTTATGCCCTTCTCATTAATTTTAAACAGTTAAAACACTGGAAAAAGAGAAAAAGTTTTCATTATTAAAGTGCTTTACTTTTTAATAACAGAGGATTCTGTCCGCCAGGGGAAAGGGCAAACCTCACTAATTTCACATTCATATTAAAAAGCGCTGGGAAGGTGACACTTGGTGCTGCCAGGAGGCTTAACAAAAGGCAAGTGCTGGGGGCCCGAAGGAGCAGGTGGGGCCAGAAAGTTTTGTGTTTCACATCGGTGGAAACTTGGTAGTGCCAACGAGGAGTGCCCACTTCGGGCAGGCAGCTCCACTTGGGGGTCACTGAACCTCTGCAGAGGCCCCTGGGCTGGGTCTCAGCTTCAGGGCACACCTGAAGTCAAAGGCACCTGTGAAGGGAATGTTCAGAAAAGGCAGGAAAGCTGAGGAAGGGTCCAGAGAATAAATTATGTGAGGAGCAGCTGAGGGAACTGGGGTGGCTGAGCCTGGAGAAAAGGAGGTTCAGGGGAGACAATTCACAAACAGGAGGGTGCAGCCAGGTGGAGATCAGGATCTGCTCCCAGGGATCAAGGACAGGAGGAGAGGACACAGCCTCAAGCTGTGCCAGGAAAGGTTCAGGTGGAACATCAGGAAGAATTTCTTCACTGCAGGCATGGTCAAGCATTGGAATGGGCTGCCCAGGAAGGTGGTGGAGTCCCCATCCCTGGAGGTGTTGAGGAAAAACCAGACATGGCACTCAGTACCATGGTTTGGTTGACAAAGTGATGATCAGTCAAAGTTTGGACTCCATGGTCTTGGAGGTCTTTTCTGACCTAAATGATGCTGTGATTCTGTGAGATAGGTTGTGAGTCTTTCTTGAGGAGATTGGGAGACAGCAGAGACCAGAAATCCGGGAGAGTTCATGTGCTAAAATAGCCAGGCTGTCTGTGGAGGTGCAGGTGGACACCCAGTCCAGGCAGTGAGTGAGCAGGAGCTCCAGCCCCACGTGTGTTTGCTTTGTTGAGGAATTACCCAGTGGCTGGAAGCTGTGGGATCCTGAGTTTCAGAGAGGGCAAAGTGCAGGGCATTTAAACTACATTTGAGGTCTGTGGGTACATTTGCTGTTGGGTACAGGGTGGCACATCTGGGACAGGAGAGCATTTTGTGTCAGGTGCTGGCAGCCACGGGGTTTGGTTGTGGTGTCAGTGGGATGTGGCTCCTCTGGACTGGCAGCAGCACAGAGGAAAGAGGGGTTTGCAGCATTATCATGCAGATCTGCCAGAGAAGAACAGGATTGCTGCCTTGGCACAGGCCAGAGAATTCCAGGAGCTGGAATTTGTATTCTGTCAGCCCTGCTCGGATAAGGGGTCTGACCAGTATCAAGTTGCTGCCTTGGAGCTGGCACTCTCACACTTGGATGCTGGTTCCTGTCTGAATCACACTGGAGAACTGTGGCCCTTTTCTGGGAGAGGTGCACATCCATGGATGCTTGGCTTTGCACTTTGCTGTCAACTTTTCATCAAATATTTCACTTGTTTTCTGGTCCGCGTTTCCTTTCTCTGCCTGGATCCCTCAGAGAGGGAGGGAGCCTCTCTTCTCCCAGTAACAGCTTGCTCCCAGGAATGTTTGTTTTCCATTTCCTGAACTGCATCCTACAGTCTGATCCCAGGAAAGCTGGAATACGTGCAAAATTGCCCTTTTGGCTTGAAGAAGTTTATTCTGTCGTGCCTTTGGTGCAAGGGGCTTGTCCTGCTCTAGAGGAGCCAAGTGATGGCAGTTCCAGTCAAATATGATGTGTTGACAGTGAGGAAACTTCATGTTGAAATCCATGCTGGAATTCATGAGTTCATTTGGTTGCCTTTGTTCACAAGTGCTGAATTTGGTCTCCTCTCTGGAGCTTGGGGGTGATTGTGAATCTCGTGGTCTCCTGCCCTAGGTGTTTTGGGGAAGTGCACAGGGGAACTTGCAGCATCACTCTGAAACTGTTAATGTAGGGTCTGGGGGGAGTTATTCCAAATAATTCCAATGGAAACAAGCAGTGGGACCTGGCCTCTTGTACCTGGAAAAAGAAAAAAAAAAAAGGGAAGGGAAAAGAAAAGCAAGGGGAAAAAGATACATGAGAGATGTTAGAAAACACAAAATTAAAACTGATTTGTTCTCCCCACCACACGGCGCTCACTGGCTGCTCTGATTTTAACATCTTTATCTGGATGATTTTTTTTTTCCTCTAGTAATATTGAGAGGATTACCTTTGTTGGCCCCTGGGTAGTTGCTGTGTGATTTTACTGTTATTAAATCTATTGTAAACTGCTTCATTATTCCTGACTCAAATTCTCTCTTTCCTCTAATCCTCTCGCCTCCCTGGTAGAAATCCTGTGGCAAGAACCCTCAGGAAGTCCGGGAGAGAGCCACGGTCCTGCAGACAAAATTTGAAAACTACGTCCACTCCAGCGAGGGGACTGTCCTGTGGGCAAAGAAAGGTCAGTGAGTTTCCTTCCACTTATCCCACAAGGGCTCACAAGAGCTGCCAAGGTTTTCTTCTGGGGCACAGCATCAGGGAAAAGGCCTGGAAGAAACATTTTGGGGCTGTTGGGCTCTGCAGGGGGTTGAGGCAGGCCCAGAAGGCTTTGTGGTGATATTAAATGTTAATTTCTGGCATTCCCATATTACGTGCAAATGAGATTTAGTCTTGCCTTTCAGTGGGATTCACATCTGAGGGCTTTGACCCAATCACAGGAGCAATCACAGGGTTGTGTGTGTTGTGCTGGGAAGGGGATGGGTGACTTCCTCCACCATATCCTACTGCAATTCCCTTCAGATGCCTCCAGTTCACACCAGGGGTAAGCTTGAAGCCTGAAAGACAGGATGCAACACTGACCAGGAAAGGATCTTGGACTGGAACTGGTTGTGTGGGATGGGAGATAAAAGAGAGAGGGACAACAACTCAAACAGGCAGTTTTTAGACTTGCTACACAAGCAGCTTGCACCCATTTTCAGGTGTGTGGTGTAATTTTGTAGCCGTAATTGTAATTACAAAAAAATTTGTAATTTTTTGAATACACAATCTCAAAGCATGTGACTAATGTGATCAGAATCCTTCATTCTGCATGGATGAACTTCTTGCTGCTCCCTTGGGTTTTCTTGTACCCTATGTAAACTTCTAACCTGAAATGCCTGTGACAGGAACAACCAGAGAATAACTCTGGTCACACCCAAAAAATCTCTGTGGTTCCTCTACACCCAGTGTCACTGCACACGCCCACCCACACACACTTGTTGCTGACCTCAGCTTTAGTAACTTCTTTAGCCACAGAAAAGAAGCACAGAAAGTACATCAGGAAATGCTGAAATGTTGTGCATCCCATTTATCTTGTAGAGGAGCACTCCACCTCTTTTTCCATCTCTGCTATCTACATATGCAAATTTTCCACTGCTGAGTGGCTTCCATAAGCCCCTCTTCCTCCCCTCTGAGCCAGGCATCATGAATAATTAACATGGCAGCTGGCTTTTGCTTTCATGGCAGACAATCAATTGGAAACTGTGCCAGAGATGCATTTGTTTCTCTCTCTTTTTCTGTTTTTCCCCGTTTTCTGACCTAGTCAATGTTAATAAGCAGTGTTTGCACTGCAGCCTGCATTCAAAAGGCAAGTGGCTCCCTGCCCGCTCTCCCCTTCTGGCCTGGGTCCCATGTTTTTCACACTCAAATCAAGTGGTTCAGGGAAGGTATTGCCCTTCAAACTTGATTGACTGAGCAGCAGTGAGATGGGTGGGAGGAGGGCTCTGGCTGAAGGATTAATCTTATTAAGAGTGGAGCCCCTTTTTTAGGAAGTGGAGGATGCTCATCCTGAGGCTTTGGATGGTGATAGGTGCTTCATTTTGGAGCTGTGGGGCCAGAAGGAGCTCAGGAGACTGATCCTGTGTACCCCTGAGTTACAGAGAGGGGAAGGAAGCAAACCCTGCTATCCTCCTCCTTGTTTCCCAGTTGTACAGCCAGCAGTTGAACATTTTGCCTCCTCCTTTCTGTCCTCAGTGCCTGTGTGTGGAGAGGGACTGCAGAGCCACAGGAGCCCAGGGCTGTGGCACAGCACTCAAATCTGTGATGGTTTTGGTGCATCCTTCCCTCCTGCTCCCACCTGCTCTGGCAGAGTGCCTCCCAGTTTATCCAGCCCTGCTGAGGCTGTGCCCTGGGGCCAGTGCTGGGAGCTGGCTGCCAGCTGAGAGCCTGGTGAACAGGTTATGTCACCTGTGTCCCTTTCATATCTCATTACCCTCTGGTCCCCTGTCTAAAGTAACGACAAACCAGCCCATCTAACCCACATCATACATAGGACACGCTGGTTTTTTTCTTTTCTTCCTTTGATTTTCCACACTTTTATTTCCTGGAGAAGAATGGGGATGAAGAGGTGCAAAGGACCAATATAAATCTTCTGTTTTGCATGAGTACAAGACCAAATCCTTCTCCAAGCCAAATGTTACCTTTGACTTGTGTTGGTGTGGCAAAAGCTCTCAGCAGCTCAGGCAGTTTGTTCCTGTGGCATCAAGATAAGGAACCCTGTACATGAATTATGGCCTGACCAGCACTGTTACCAGGCTTTGTGAGCTGTTTTCCTGAAGCTCTGTCCCTTTGATCACAAAATCGTAAAAAGAATTTCAACTTTAAAAAAAAAAAAAACAATAAAGCTTTCAGTATCTGGCCACTCTAATAGCACATAAAAGCCAGAAAATATGGCTCTGGCAACACTAAGAGGTCTAAAGACCTGATAGTAAAGATTTTTTAAATAATCTCATCCACAAAGGTCTTCATTTCATCTCATGGGTGCTGTAATGAACATCTCAGCTCTGAGCTGCTTGGAGGTAAGGCAGTTTCCTGGGCTGGGATTGTGACCTGCAGGTCCAGCCAGGCTCTCAGTTCAGCTCTGGGTTAGTGCCTTGCAGCTCTCCCTGGGTTTGTGTGCTCTGACTCAAAGCTGGATTTGGTAGATGTCTGTCCAGACTTTGGGAAGAGGGGAGCCTTTGACACTTGGATTCTCTAACTCTGATCTGGGGAGTTGGTACCAGCAGCTTTTCCTCTCTGCACAGCCGTGGGAGGTGAGCTCAGCCTTCATAATAACAGGATCTTTAGTATCAGCCATTTCAAATGCTGGGAGGCAGACAACTGTATTAGCTCCAATAGGACTGAATTCAAAGTGGGAGCAAGTTCCTAATGTTCCCTTAGAAGAGTTACACCTTCTCACAGGTGAATTTGACGGATAACTTTATGAAAAAAAAAAGGCAGAAGAACGGGGTTTTTGAGAGCATTTGAGCCAGTTTATAATCCTTCAGAAGGATGGCCTTCAGACGAGACACTGAGACAGTATTTGGAATTTAGCATTCTCTTTTTTGTGAAAACACAGGCCTCTCGGTGCTCAGAAGCCTCTGAAAGAGCAGCATTGTGAAATTGGGAAGAAGGTGCAAAAAACTCAATCTTTTCTTCTCATCGATTGGGAAAAGGAGTTCACTTTGCTCAGTAAACAGAGCTTTGATGGATTCCCTGGGTCCTTCCAGGAGCTGATCTGCTAAAATGACATTTTTATTACTGTTCATAAACTCCAATCTCCGGCTGCTGCCAAGAGATTAGACATAAGCTGTGGGCAAACTTGCTGGTCCGGTGGCTCAACAGGCAAGGGCAGGAGAGGTGAGAGTTTAGAGCTCACTGCTGTCAGGAGTGAGAGGGAGAGGAAGATGCAGGAGGTGGTTTGGAGTGAGGGCTGGGGGGACACAGGAGGTTTGGCAAGCAGAGGAGCAGCAGGGGATTGAGGGGAGGCATTTTCTGAGCTGCAGTTTCCTTCCTGGAAGTCCCTCTATTCCCAGAGCAGGGGCCAGCCCGGGTGTAGTTAATGTTAAGGGATGGGGAGGAGCAGAGGTAGTGCTCATATTAGTGGATGATTGTCTTTAGAGCAATGAGCCCTGAGGGAAGGGCATTACAGGAATATAGAGATGGGAAGGGAAATTTGCACACAGTTCTATTATTTTTCCCTTTTGAGAAGGCGAGCTCTGTTCTCAGTGTGCTGATGAGTCAGGAAATCCATCCGGCTCTCAGATATTTATAAGGGACTAGCTGGTAACTGGTGAAAAATGCATGGACTACTGGGACTCTAATATCAGAGAAGTCTTCCTGTGCCATCTCCATGCTTCTATTTCTTCATCCCTGCATCTCTGTTCCCACTCTCCTCTTATCTGCTGCCACTCAGTGTCAATGACTCTTGAGAGATGTGCTACAAACTCACCTTGTGGCCAAAGGGGCAGCCTTGCAGGAGGCAAACCCAGTACAATTCAGCAGAGCGTTGTTTCAGTTCTTAACACATCCCCAGCACCTACCTTCCCCTTTTGGGATTGTACCAGTACTGTGCAACCTTCACAGATTGCTAACATTCTAACCTTCTCTGCCAGCTGCTGACCAGAAGGTGTCCCAAAGGACCAGACTGATGTCCTTTCAGCTGGAACAGCTGAATCTTTAACTGTGTATATATATAAATGCAGCAGCAAACAGAATTCACTGGTGTTTTTCCTTCCCCTCAGCACTGCAGTCTTTCCTTTGTGCCTACACCACCTATCCCAGCAAACTCAAGCACATCTTCCACATCAAATCTCTCCACCTGGGTCACGTGGCCAAGAGCTTTGGGCTGAGAGATCCTCCCCAGAACCTGATTGCAGGCTCGAAGAGGAAAACCAAACCAAGACCAAAAAGGTAGGTCAGTCTGATGTTCCTGAGCCAAGGAACAACAGGTCACACACTGTGCTTCGATCCTCAAGGTGATTGGACTTGCTCCAGGAATCGAGTGTAAATCAAAAAGCAAATGTGTTGATAGAAATGAGCCTTCTACAAACCTGGACATGTAAGTAGTTCTGGCAAAAGCATTTCTGCAAAATCCTGTGGGATCTCTTCTGAGAACAGTCTGCAGCAAGCCCAGAGTTGCAGCTCCAGCCCTCTAGCGTGTGCTCAGGGCTGTTCTGGGTACTCCTGTGTAAGGAGCTAGAGACTCCCTGATGCTGCTGGAGGAGCCCTTAACCCTCTTCTGTGCTTGCAAGGGAGCTGAAGGTGCTCAGTTCATCTGATCCTGGCTGCTCTGAGTTGGCTTTACAGGACAGATAATCCTCTCTTTTGGAATCACAGTGCTAAGGACACTCTCTCTTCCCTAGTGCAATGGCAGGATCCAAACTTCGGCCTTGCCAGTAAACCATTGCAATAATTCAAAGGAGGAAAATCTTTCTTTATCAGCATCAATTGTGACTCTTTCCGTGTAATTGTTGCTACAAACTCTGTTAGCAAACCTTAGCCATGCAATTAAAGCACTAATCCACATAATTGGCTGGGCACTTCTCTTGCACATGCACCTATCCTGTGAAAAGAAAAAATGTAAGGGGAAGGGATTTTAAAATAAAAAGTTGGAGCCTGCATTGTCCTGCTTTCAGCAGCCACCAGGGACAGGCCACTGCTCTGCCTCCTGCTCCAGCTGACCCTCCTCAGCAGATGGGCAACAGGATGGGAATGCCCCTGTGAGCAGGGGATTTAACGGAGCTTTATTTCGGGAAGAATAGCCTGATTAGCTGATAAAGAGCATGTAAGATGGTATGGGGTGGGCTTTGATGTCTTGCTGGCCCAGCAGGGTGTCAAGCTATGACTGACAGTAGCGTGTCATAGGATTACTTGGCCTGTAACAATGCCTCTCTCTGTTCCTGTGATGTTGCTACTCTGTTAGAGCTACTTTTTCCCTTGTTACAAACCTCTTTTAGATGCGAGTTCCTCCTCCCCAAGTCTCCATCCCATTATAGCACAGACAAGCTCAAGATACAGTAGGTATTTACACGCAGGATGTGTGGGGTTGGGGGATGTGGAGTTGTTGGAACAAATGGTCTGAGAATGATTTGAGAGCTCATTTGCACGTGGATCACAGAATTGCAGCTCAAGGAAAGTGGGCAGACTTTGCACAGCTCCCTCGCGGCTCAAGCTCCAGATCTCAAATCCGGGAGCATCTGCAAAGTTAAAACCCTGCAAAAAATAGCCAGAGTTGTGATGTGCAACAATTGTTCCTGCCTGTGAAACTTGGTTCTAATCAGCTTTCTCTGTGTGTGCTTTAAAAATAAATAAATAAAGAGAGAGGGTATATTAGTATTTATAGGATAGTTTAGAGAAAGTGAATATCAATTCAAATTCAGTTTGCACTTGCATAAATCCAAGATAATGCTATTAACTTAGAGAATTGCTTTTGATTTCACACTGACAAAGCAGAAAGCAAAACTTAGCCTGCCATTTAGAAGACAAATGGTTTCTAATTGTAAAATGCAGGTCTTGAAATTATAACAGCACAGTCACAGAGCAATCTTTTTAATTATATTTCTCACATGATGCTGTGAGTGTTGGTTGTTGTATTACACATTGTCTCCCAACATCCGATACTGGTTTTTAATCAGGCTGCTCACTAAAGCCTCATCTCTCAGCACCTGCCTAGAGAATAAAGAGCAGGCACTCCAGGTTGAAAATGGGGTTAAGGCAATCATTAGATGTTTCCTTAAGAGGACAAAGAAAACTTTTCATTTCTTTTGAAGTCTTCTTTTGTGCTTCGTGCCTCCTTGGAGAGCCTGCTGGAGGAAGGTGAGACAGTGAGAGGGAGCAGCCAGGTGTGTGATGTTTCAGTGCTGAAACGTGGGAGCAGCCCTCTCCTCAATGCCCATGTAAACTTACATGTATTTTTCAGAGGTCTTTGTGCAATCCAGCTGTCCCCTTAGCTGCAGTGGATCTCGTAAAACCCGATCTGAAGACAGAAAAATAATTGCTGGCGGTGTTTTTTGAAAGTTGCAATGCTGTGTTTAGGTGAGAGATGAGCACACGAACCAGATACTGCTTATTGAATTACAGTACATCAGCTTAGTCAGTGTCTGGGCTCATTCTTTGACTGCAGGGTAGAGGCAAGGAAGCTGATCCCACTTCCATTGAGGGATTAGCTGTCCTTGGTTCACTGTGGAGTCGCAGCATGCCGAGGCTGACAGGCCAGATAGACTTGTCTTTTGACTGCTTCACAATGCAAGTGCCAAAGACCCACTGCCATTCCACCATGCATCCCTGTGCTGCTCAGGCTTGTGCATTCTGGATCAGTGGGCTTTCATGGGAATCTGTGGCAACTGAGGGTCTGCTTTCCCTTTGAAATCAGGAATGCCAGTGTGTGCCCCCAAAGGCTTTCACTGCAGTGAGGAGTTGCAGCTTAATTTGGCTTTCTTGTGAGTTCAAGCCATTACAAAGAAAGATGACTCTTTAGTTCAGTTGATTCTGTGGAACTCCCTCCAGCAGGAATCTCTGATGCAAGAAATGCTCAAAAAGACAGAATTTACTTTTGAGTATCAAGAATTGCTACAGCATATGCAAAAAGTGATATAAAAACAAAGGTGAAAACCCCCTTGTGCTTCAGTGTTTAAGTCCAACCCTCAAGTAAAATGGGATCAGGAAGAGGTGTTTGAGAGCTGCTGTCCATCATTATCACAGTGCCATTGTTCTGATGTGGAGATGGGCATGGCCTGAAGGTTCTGGCTGCAAGATCACTGTGTTAATTCATTCTTCAGCATGGTCAGATAGAATCAGATAACTCCTGGGAAGCACACCTTGTAGCCCTGTGTCCTCCACATGGACAGGGCAGTAGTTTCATTTGCCTTCTCTCCCACCTCACATCCTTGGTTCCACTTTTGAACATCTTGGCATTGACAATTTTGAAAAGACAGGGTTTGTGACTCAAGGCTGCAGCTGGCCTTCCCTGCACAGCAATTGTCTCATCATTAGAAGCACTTTGCTTGCCAGTTTTTATGTGCACATTTAGAGCTTTCCTGATTTCACTTAATTAGTCAAAAGGCAACTTTGGAATTCTGCCCACTGGGAATTTCATTTGGTTTGGGCAGTCTGCTCTAGAAGCCAGACTGGGGCTTGGGTAAGAGCATGCATCCATGGGCAAATGGAGCCAGAAATGAGAGTAAGAGACATGGCTGCTGTGAAAGGAAACATCACCATCACTCTTCCCTAAGGCAGTTCAGGGACACATGTGAGTTCTGGCTACCATATCACAATGTTATAAAAGAAATTCTCTTACAGAATTAAAGTTTTATAGTTGTAAAATCCATTTGATTGTTTCCTGCACACACAAATGCCCTTTATTACTGTCCTGTTCCTGCAGCGCAGAGCCTTTGCTCCATCTCTGATCAAGTTAACAGTGTTTGCACCCAGAGCTGGAAAATCTCTGTGCTGGGGGCTGTGCACCAAAAATTATCATCTCTCTCTAACTGAAATATATTCTATCCTCTAGGCTGGGAAAGGGCCTGACAGAAGCAAGAATCCTTGGAGATTCCCAGCCTCCCAGTGCTGCTTTTTACCTTTTTCTATAGGGTGAAGGCCAAGGGATGGCAGTGAAAGTGAGACTGGGGTTTCTGTGTGGCTGAAATGCATTTGACTTCAGTAGGGCAAGGTGGGCTTTGCTGTTCAGCACATCCCAGTGTGGAGACCACCCTGCCCTGAGTGTTCTGGAGCACTCATTCTGTGAGCTTCATGCTCATTCTGGCTGGGTAATAATTTTCCTTGATCTTCTCAAGCGTCTGCATCAGCTGGGAACAGAGGACCTGGGCCATCTGTTGCCCTGTCGAGAGCAGTGTAGGATTGCTGATGGATTTCTTGCCCCCACTCTGCAAAAAACAACAGCAGCAAAACCAACCCAAACAGGGTTGTGTTGGCTGCAGATGGTTCATCCAATGCTGTAAGTAGGAAAAGCAGGTGTTGCAGCAGCCTTGGTCCAGAGGTAACCCAGCTCTGCTGCTGGCACAGTGTCAAGGAGCTGTTGGAGATGCTGTCAGGCAGATTGATAGTGCAATCCACATTGAAATGTTTCCTGATAAATGGAATGGCCTCCTCAGGTCTCCTCCAGACACACCATGACTTCTGGGACTATGCATCAGAACTTCATCCTCCTCCTTCCTCAGCTGGAGCAATTTGGGAGCCTTTGGTTGCTGCAGATGCTGGGAGTTGGGTAAAGGTCACTACAGCTGGGCACTGCATTGCAGCAGCATCTCACACAGCAAGACAAAGGAACAGGCAGTGATGCCAGCCAGGTTGAGAGACACCTCCAGGAACAAGCTCACTCACCACTGAGGCAAAAAGATGAGCAGAGGCATCTTCTGAGCCAGCAGACAAGAACCAGGAGAAGGAGATCAGTCCAAACCATTCAGGTTTCCCCAGAGATGGAGGCTTGGGGAACACCAGCTCCACTCTGTGGCTCCCGAGTGGGGAAGGGGAGCAGCATGCAGGGAATAGCTCTGTAAGTGGGTGTAGAAGGAAACTGAAGCAGAGGAAAGAAGGATTTTACTCTTTCCTTCACTGGACACTTTTTCTTCCAGATGTTCCTTTCCTGCCTTTTCATCATTCAGTGATGTATTTAGCAAGATTCATGAGTTTCTCATGTTTAAACAGTGAATAAAATAATTCCAGTTTTCTGGAGAAGAGCAGGGGTTTTTTTTTTTGTTTTTTTGGTTTGGTTTTTTTTTTGTCTTTAAAACTTTGGCCTGGTCTTTTCCAGCCTTTCAGGAGATAAAAAAGTCATCTGGGGACAGTTCTTCTGTTTCCTTATTGTCTCTCTGCTGGGGGTCTTGGTACCAGCTTTTGTGAGGTTGCAGCTTAATTACAGATGTACACAGGCAGTTCTAAATACGAGTCTTTTTATTCCTTCCTCTGTCTCAGTAAACCATAATACCTAGACATGAGATCACAGCAAGAGATGCTGAAAATCGATGTGTTTTTTTCCAGTGATGGGAGCATGGGTTCTGTCTGTGTTGCAAATGCATCTTTACATTTACAGCCTTTCTGTGAAGCTTTTTGCCACAGTATCACCACACAGCTCCCTTAAATTAACATGCCACCAGCCCTCAGCAACGTGGAAAACACAGGGAGCTGGGGGAATGGCCATGGAGGCCAAAGAGATTAAACACCTTGCCTGAGGATGCTCGGGGGTGAGTGTTAAGGTCTTGCTCAGTTCTCCTGGGCTTTGTCTCATAACATCGGTGAGAGAAGGTGCCCTGAGGTTACCTTGCTGCTCTGGCAGGGCCCCAGAGACTGTCACCAGTTGGGCAGAGAGGGGAATTTACAGCTTTACAGCAGAAATCAGGGCTCCTGAGCTGGTGCAATTTCCTGGTGTGCTGTCACTGCGTGCTGGTGCTGTTCCCTGTAGCTCTTCCATCTCATGGTTAAACGGGGCCTTAACAGCTGCTTTTCTTCTATCCATGATGAGCACAGGTTCCACAGCACAACTCCATTGATTTTTGTGGCCCTGGGTTAGAGGGAGAAGGCTCCCTTTTCCCTGCATCCCTGCTTTTCTGTGTACAGCTGATCACCTCAGCAGGGAGTATTGATTTACTAATTGGGCAGCAATTTCACCTGATTGATAATAAAGTGTTGGACATCCTCCCTGCTGAGCTGTAGCTCAGCCCGGCAGCTACTGGTGGATTCCTTGTCCTTTTGCAGCAGAGAGTTCCCTGTTGTTAAGTAAACCAGTCTGTTGCTTGGAAACCCATGAACTACTGTAGGAAATACTTGGAGACAACAATCAAAGTGTCAAAAAGGAACTTTACCCAGTTGTGGAGGGGGCTGAGCAGAGGATACACCTGCACAGGCTGTGGGAAGGGAGCAAGCAAATACCCCAGGCAGCCAAGAGTTCACTTCCCTTCTCTTCCCTGTGTGTTTGGCCTATTGAATGCATCGATCAATCATCGATCTGCAGCAGCCAGAAATCCTTCCTTCAGTGCCCAGCGTGGGTTTGGACACCTGAAGGGACTTTGAGGCAGTGCTTTAAGGTGTCACCTTTAGGACTGCTGAGTCCCTGTGTTGTCACCAAAGCTCACTGGTGAGGCTGTGGGGCTGCTGTTCAGTTCCCTCGTGTTCAGAGGGACAGACAGCTTTCTGTTCTGCTTTTCTAGAAACACCTGAGATCCACAGGTCCTTACTAGAACTTGCTCAAGAGAGGTGCACTCTGGAGGTGTTCAAGGCCAGGCTGGAAAGAGCTTGGTTGGACCTGATCTAATGAAAGGAATGAGATGATGTTTAAGGTCCCTTCCAACCCAAATCAGTCTGTGACTTTGTGGTGATGAGGAGAGTGGGACATGCCAACACCAGTAGCTGTGGACACTCTGTTGTGCCCATGGGAACGAGGTAGGGTCCTGCAACAAGAGATTGTATCTGAAATAACTGAGGGTGAGATCTGCCCAAGGTTATAGAGCAGGACAGTGGAAGAACTTGTGCTGGGAAAATGCTGAGTGGGTTTTTATATTTACAGCTGTCAGTTTAGGGCTGCAGGGATAACCATATTGGAGTTTGGTGGCCAGGCAAAGTGCAGCTACCCTTGAAAAGCCAGTCTCTGGAGAGGGAGGCTGTGAGGTCCATGTGGTGGCTGCAGGACACTGCAAGAAAAGAAAATCTGTTGGATGTGTTTGGTTTAGACTCATGACATTCTAATTTTTTCCCTGATTCGCTTGGGAGGGGGCCATGGTTTCAAGTGCTGGATTTAAGCTCTGTTTATAAAATGTTTCCATTATTCAATGCCATTGGGTTTTCAGGTGGTATTACTATTATTATTATTATTATTATTATTATTATTATTTCCAAACTGCTGTGTCACCTCATTCATCAGCCTTCAGGCACACAAGCTTCCCTCCTTCTCCCCACCACCCCTGCACGAGCATTTGTACAGAACAAAGGCTTGCTTTGAAAAAACGCCGTGATATTTTGCCACCTTTGTGAAAACCTGTCACAACAATACCTAATTTTGCATGAGGCAGATTTTCAAATCAAGCCTCAAGGAAAGGGAGCTGTTCCTTCTCTAATGTGCAACTGTCGGTGGTGTTGCATGAACCCACCCAGCAGGAGAAGGGGTTCTTAATTCCTTAATTCTTTAATTCCTTAATTCCTCTGCTCTTCCCCCTGGCCAGGTCTGACCTGCTCAAGAAGACCCATGGCAAACACCGCCTTGCTGAGATCCTGCGCTCTGAATATTCCAGTGGGATGGACACTGCTGAAGCCAAGGTCAAGAAGAAGAAGAGAAAGCAGAGAAAAGCTGGCAACCAGCAGATTCCAACATAAGCCAGGCCCTTCCAGTCATTGGCTGTAAAAGCTGCTAGAGTGCCTCAGCTGGGGGTCAGGGTGACCTGCCAAATCAACTGAGGAGTGTTTCAATTTATCAGGCAAATGTAGGAGGGATCCTGGGGATCTTGGCCTCCTCCCCTTTATTCCATAGGTCCAAGTGGAATGGAATCCAGGTGTGTCCTGTTGTACTGCTGCAATTAAATGTGGCTTCCCAAAGATCCACCATTAGGTGGATCACTGGATTAGGAACAGCTAAGAAGCACGACACAGACTCTCTTGTGAGCTGAACAGGAGAGCAAAGTTGTTTATTCTTGATCTTCTTTTATAGACGTGTTCAAGAAGGTCCGAGAGGTAAAACTCTCATTGGTAATTAAAGCAACACATCACCATCATTGATTAAGTGAAACGCCACCCCTTGACTGTTTCCTAAACACCACCTGCAGAGATTGTTGTCCTTCATCAAGGACTGTTTGGATTCTTTCTCAGGCCAGAATGAGAAGCCTGTGACTCGGTTCCCTGTTTTTTGCATTTAGCATCCACACACCATGTTCCTAAGATTTTTTTTAGCAAGAAAAATAAAAAAAGGTTGAATATGATTTTCAGAGAAATGTGATGTGTGTGCAACATAAAAGTGAGACCAGTTTGGGTAGGCAGGAGGTGCTTTTCTGTTTAAGGAACACTCCACAATCCCTTCACTTGCTGTTTCCAGCCAGGTGAACATAGCAGGGGAGGTGTCACCATGGAGAGGGGAATCTGCCCTGTCCCGTCACTGTAAAGGGAGCACTTCTGCTCCTGGCTAATGAAGCCACATTGCTGCCAGCTCCTCTCCTGTCCTCTGTGCACTGGGCAAGGTCTGTGCCTGGTCACTGTTACTCAGAATTGCCACCTGCAATGATGCCAGTGGCAGGATTGTGGAGAACTCTTCAGAGTGATGACACACAGTCCCTTTGGGGCAGAGTTCATTGGCACAGAACTTCTGTCAGAGCTCCTGGGCTTGGGAACAAACGTTGTCACTGTGGGAAGGAGCCACACTGGAATCCAGCAGTCTCCTCCTTGCCTGCAGCGTGTTGTCATTCCTGATTATGTAACAGAGGGAGCAGGAGATGTCTCACCTCTCTGAACATTAAAGCCTTTGCAGGCTCCTACAAACCCTTGCCCATAGTGACCCAGCCTTTTGGGGTTCTTTGCCCTGCCTGGGCCTGTTTTGAGCTCATGGATTTTGCTTCTTGCTTTTCCTATTTGCCATCCATCTTCCCATCAGACAATTGGGACACTGGGAAAAGGGATGCAGGATGGCCCCCAGTGTGCTGAGGCTGGCATTTGTTCACCAGTGTGTGAAATGAAACCCAAACTGCCCTGGGAGTGGAAAGTGCCCCCAAAGCCTGCAGAATTCCCAACTCCCCCAGCTCCTACAGGTGAGCACCCAGCTGTCCCCTCTCTGTTCCTCCCTTTGTGTCTTCCAGCCCCTCCTAGAACACAAGCAACAAGCAAGGCACAGGTGAGAACAGCACAAAAACAGCCAAAACACAACTTTCTTCTCCCTGCACACGTCTTCCTCAAGGAAAGGGATGGGGAAGAGCAGCCCAACCATGACCTGGGCCAGGCATGTTTAATGCAGGAGCAGAAAGTGCTCAAATAGTGGCAATTTCAGACGTCGGAAGGAAGAAAAGTACTGAAAAAGGAGTATAAACAGATTAAAATGATGCCTTGTAAATGCAAAATTGAGGGCACCTACTTTGGGCTGTAGTGAGTCATACAAAGGATTGTAGGAGAGCAGCAATCAGCCCCAAAGTATTTAATTTCTGAAGTGAAGGTAACTTTTGAAACCAGAATTTTTATTTCCTCCCAGACAATCAAACACTCCGATTTCACTGCAATGCTTTTTTGAACACTTCTGGAAGATAATAAAAAGGCTCCAGTATCAAATTAACCATGATTTTGCAGAGAGAATGAAGTTACAAACATTTATTAGATTAAAATAAAATAGCAACAAAGCCCACCTGATTTTGTTATGAGAACTATTTGAAAGAGCAATCAGGTTTAAGGCAAATGTCAACTTAAACAGAAAAGAAACCCCTGAGGATGAAAATGACTCAGAATGATGCAGGAAGTGCAAGTTTGGGAATGATATTTTGCATGAAGGGAAAATACATGACCTTCTCCTGGCTGACTGTCACATAGGAATTACTAGGGACTGCTGGCAAATTCATAACAGTAGGAAAAAAGGCCAACAGCACATAGGTGAGAGACATCAGGAGATCACATTGCTGCCTGTATTAACTGGGCATGAAACAGTACAAATGGTTATGATGAATCAAGTGATTTTTTTAAAAAATATGAGTGTCTTTTTCTTTCAGCTTCACCATCTTTAGCAGACAGGGCTGGATTGCTTGTGTGATTAGGGAAAGAGAGAGGAGGATAAATAAATTGTTAAAAGACATGCACGTGCACCTGAAATTAAGCCAAGTTTTCTCCTAACAAACTTGAAGGCTGATGAGCAAAATGTGTTTGAATTGTGGCCGGGTGGGCAGGATGCAAATTCTGCCCTTATTTACACTTGGACTGCTCCGGATTGGCTCTGAGCTGGCTTCACCCTTGTGCACCACTCAATTCAGGAAGAACCTGGTAGGTTTGGGGTTGATTTTACTCAAATCATCATTCAGGCAGGGCAGGGCAGGGTGTGGTGCTCAGAGCTGTGAGCTGCTGTAGAGTTCCATCATTTCCACCACCTGCAGCAGGACCAGGGTGTTGTGTGTGCAGAGGTTCCCAAATGCCAGAGGAGCAGCTGGGGGTGACAGTGGATTCCCGTGCCAGGGAGCAGGTGGATGCTGCCCTGAACTGCTCCTGAATTTGTCCCCTCTTGCTCTGAGGTGTGTGGTGTGTGCTGAAGAGGTCTTGGCTGGGTGGGAGCTGCCCTGCACGGCTGGCAGGGGAGGAGAGCTGGGTTTGGCAGTGTCAGTGGAACTGCAGCTTTGGTTTTGGCTTTGGTTGTGTTTGTTTGTCTGGATTGTGGTGGAGAGCGGGGGCCTCGCTGCCCTGCAGCCTCAGGTCCCTGGGTTTGGTCTGGAAATAGTGGCACTGTGTAACTTACAGTTACCTACAAAGCTTTTTGTGAGTCAGACCAGGGCTTAGCTGGGTTTTCTTTCTGTGCTCTCACACCCTGAGATTGCAGGAGATGCTCTTGTGTTTTCTCAGCTGTCTTCTGGCTCCATGTCTTTTACCTGTAGTAGTAGTTCACATCCTCCTCCCCTCTGCAACTGGAGCATTGTGAGCTCACACTGCAAGGCTTTGGATTGGGAAAGAGCAAGGAGGTCACCTTGGGGCAACTGAGGTCACAGTTAAACACCAGGGGCTGGGTCAGACACAGGACACAGTGCTGCTCCCTGACTGCTAAGAGCACCAGAACTAAGCAGGGTAGAGAGCAACTCCTCCCTGTTTCCAACACCTTGCTTTCTCCATAAAGCTGGGGAGAGGGAAGGAAAAGCAGCAGTGTACTGGGCTTTCCATTCTGCCATAGTTTAGTTTGGTGCTTGGATGAAGCCATGGGATATCTTGACTAGAAACAATTCTGATTGCAATGACGCTGTGTGTGCTGGCATGTCCAGCAGAGCAGCTCTTGCTGTGCCTGCTCTGAGGGTGCTGGTCCTGGTTAAAGCTGTGCCAGGAGGGAAGGAAAGTGGCCCTTGAGCTGGGTAAAAGCCTGGAAGGGACTGGAGAGCCAGGAGTGTATTTAGTCCTGGCAAACCCACTACACTCTCTGGATCCAGAGCCTGGAGCTGACAGAACCCAACCAGCAGCAGCTTGTCTGTTGGACTTTGTACCCTGGAGAAATCCATGGAGCAGAACTGCTGCAATACTCCAAAGGTTTCCCTGCTGGGACTGGTGCTTCTGAACTGTTACATTTTTTTTGCTTCATATAATTTCAACCCAGCACAGCCTGTCCTGCCCCTGGGACCTTGCCAGGACTGTGCCTGCCTGGCACCATCCTCTGGAAACATTTCTAACCTGCTCTGGGCTGCTGTAGGTGCAGGGCCAGTGCTGGTGGGTTCTGCTGTGGGACACTGGCTCCCATCTCAGTCCCTGCACACAGGCTGAAGGTGAGGTTGGTCCTTCAGCAGGTTTTGAGGCTGCTGAGATCCTCCCACACACGATGCTGTTCATGTGGCCGGCGCAGGGATCTCTGCTTAGAGTCTGTGGTGTCTTCCCTAAACTGTTTTCTCTTGAAGCTTCACTCTGCTGTGAGATGTCCTGGGCAGCAGCAGCTCCAGCCTTCATGTCCCCTCTGCTCACTTTCCTTCTCACCACGCCCGGCACAGCCATTTCCCCTTCCCAGGGTAGAGGTTTCCTCGGGACTTTGTCCTGCTTTCTCCAACACAGTTTGTAGCACAAACTGAGCCCTGGCACTGTTATGGTGCTGCCTCAGACCCGCTGGTGCAGGGGAGTTTCCAGCTCCTTCCAGATGTGAAATGGCAAATTTAAATATTGCAATTACAGACGTTAACGAAGTCTTGTACTTCATTAATGTAAGAGGAGGAATATGCTACGGCTACAAGGACAATTAAATATTAGAGAATGCCTTTGATTCACATTCCTGCTGTGTAAATGGGAGGAAGGTTGCTGTATGCTCCTTGCCTTTGCGCTCACAAAATGAAAAGCACACCCACTGCAAGTTGTCCTTTGATAGATTTTTAATATGATTTTAAAGAGTTTTGTTTGGCCTCATTCTTATTCAATGAGATTAATTTAAAGCACTTATCCCCTGGGTTTAAGTCAATCCATGTAGGATTTGGGACGGGGGTTGTTGCCCAGGGAGGGGGTTGTTTGCAGGCCTCTCTGAAAGACTCCTTTCCCACTTCATTAACCCCGAGCTCGGAGCGACCCCCCTTCCTCCTCCTCCTCCTCGCCCAGCCGAGGCCCGGGGATTTACCAAACCCCCCATTCACATGCAAAGAACCAGCCCTATCCACAAAGGCCGGGGGCTCTCGCCCCCAGGCGTGGCTGTGCATTTGGCCGAGCCGACAATCGCCCTCCCCGAGGGGCTCCGGCGGGACCGGGGCAAAGCTCCCGGGACGGAGCCGGCCCCGGGGCATCGGGCTGGGACCCGGCCCGGGGAGCCGGGGAGGGGATCGGGAGGGGCAGTGGGTGCTGGGGGGGCTCCGCAGACAGCCGGGCCCGCCGGGGGGAGCGGCCGGGGCCGGGGGGACCCGCAGCCCATCTGTCGGCTCCCCGAGCCGGCGAGCCGCTACCCGGCTGTCCCGGGCACCAGCTGCCGGGCCCGCTGGCCGCGGCCAGATGAGCGACACTTTTAAAGGGTGGAAACAATCCATTTTCCAAAGCGATCATTTAAAGCACTTAGGCAATTATACACTTAAGATTAGCGTTATTAATTCACCGGAGTCGTGGCTATCACCGCGCCGGGCTGTCCTGGTGTCCCCCGCTCTCTCCGACGGCTCCGCGGCCGGTCCCGCATCCTGGCACTGCAGCCGGGCCCCGGGGGGACACCGAGTCCTGGCGGGGACACCGAGCCCTGGGGGGACACCGAGTGATGGGAGATGGGAAAACTCCTCTTTACTTTTCCCTTTCCCTCGGCGGCGGCAGTTCCGCCAGAGCAAACAAGCGGCGGGGGGAGAAGAAGGGGCCGGCGAAGGCAAGACCCGTTTGTTTGTAAAGAAGTTTTATTTCCACATTTAAAAAAGGGGGGAGCGGGAGCGGCCGCGGCTCCCCGAGTTCCCCCCCCGCTCTCCCCGCCCGGCCGGCCCGGCCCCGGGATACAGACTGACAAGAATCACTTACACAAATACGCCCTCAGGGTTCACAAATAAATAATTCATATACATTTTGCACCGTATTTACATTCCACCGCGCTTATTTTTTTTTTCTTTTTTCTTTTATCTTTTTTTTGTTTTTGTTTTTTTGGGGGGGGTTGTTTGTTTTTTTTTTTTAGTTTTAGTTACGGACGTCCCAAAGTCTCGCCGGAGCCATCGGCCTGGGCCACCCCACGGTCCTTCCCGGCAGCGGGACGGCTGCCCCAGGCTCGGGGAGCCGGAGAAAGCGGGGAGGGAGAAAGCGGAGCCGCCCGTGGCAGGTGTGGCTCGGCTCCCCTGACTGTTCCTGGGGAGGGGGCGGAGAGGCGAAGCCCCCCCGGAGCATCCGAGCCCCTCCGGTGCTCCCGGCGCCGTCCCATGCCGAGGTGGGGGACACGCAGCGGCCGCGCTGCCCGTCGGGGGCACAAGGGGGTGAAGGTGGCGAGTGCCCCGCGAGGTGAGGGGCAGCTCTGCCGGCTCCGTCCTGCCAAGCCTGTCCTTGATTCTTGCATTCTTTATATATTATTTTAAAAAAAGGAAGGGGTGGTCTCATTTATAATTTGATATATATATATATATTTGGGGATGAGCGGGAGTCTGTCTCTTGCTCGCCGCCCCAGAGGTGTGGGGTGGTCCCCTCCAGCCCTCCGGCCCGGTGGGTGCCGGCGGGGCTGCCCGGGCGGCCGGGGCTCACCGGGGCTGCGCAGCCCGGGGCAGGACACCGGGCAGCGGGGGCAGGGGCGGCGGGGGCTCGCTGCCGCCCTGCAGTCCGTGGATGAGGATGCGGGGCACCAAGGGTCTCTGGAGGGCGGGGGGCGGCGCGCTGGGTCCGCGGTACAGGTAGAGGGCGGCGCCGGGGTCCAGGTTGGAGACCAAACTCTGCGGGTAGAAGTAGGGCGAGGGGAACATCCTCTGGAGGGCTGAATAGTTGCCAGCCTCAGCCAGCAGCTCCAGGCCCACCGCCGTCTGCCTTTTCCACTTGGTCCTGAGGGGGCAAGTCGAGAGAAGGGGTCAAGGAGGGGAGGGACGCTCCCAAAGCCGCTCCCGGGCTGTCTTTACCCTCTGCATTCCCCCCTTCCCCGGGCTCTGCTCTCATTGCGCATCCCCGCTCCCACCGCTGCCTCCCAGGGCCGATCTTCCCTGTACGGCAGGGACGGGATGGGACGGGACGGGATGGGATTTGATGGAATGGGATGCAGACCCCATTAATGGGGGGGAGGGAGTTTATGTCCTTGGCGTTCCCGCTGCGACAGCCCGGGAGCTTTCCCGGGGGCCCCAGAGCCACAGCCCGGCTGGGATCCAACGGCGGGATGCGAATCCCGGCGATAAAAACGACGGCAAACATTTCAGTCCCTTCCTGGGGGTGTGAATCCCAGGTTGTCACACGACCCGAGGATGACACGGAGGATCCGTGAGCTGAGCGCGGATGCTGCGGCCGCCGCGATGCTCCGGCCCCGAGGCCGCGGGGCCCCGCACCACCGCCCGGGGCTCCGGGACCCTCTCCTCGGGCCGGGCCGCTCGGGAGGCTGCGGGAGTCCCGCGGGGGGACAAGCGTGGGGCAGGGTCCTGGGGAATTCGTTTGCGGCATATATATGTATATAAATATATAAATATAAATATATATATGTTTCTGTGTCTGTATTTTTTTTTATTTGGATATATATCGGTATTAACATGTATATATATGTGTACACACGTGTGTGTGTGTGTGTGTGTGTGTGTGTGCCGGATCTGGTGGAGAAGTCCTGGCCCCAGGATGTCGCCGCCGGCTGCCCGGGCTGGCTGGAGAAGGGGCTGGGAGCGCTGGTTCGGCTCCGGCGTGTCCTTGCAGGGGGGATTTGGGGACAGGAGGGGTGACCATGCTGTCCCCCTCCTTCCCTAAAGTTCCCCAAACCCCCGACGTGGGGGGATCTTTGCAGATGGAGAAGTGGGGCTGGAAATGAGGGAGAGGGAGGGTAAAACCCTGGAGCGAGCGAGGGGACAGGGCGGGGGCTACAGCCGGGGGTCCCTCGTTTGGTGGCAGTGGCGATGGTCAGGGCTGGCGATGTCCGGAGAAACCCACGGAAGCCACCACGTTGCCGCCCTTTTACAGATTTGTCGCTGAAGCGCTAAACCTATTTCCACCAGTAAATTATTCATCATAATAATAATTGTGTAATTACTGTAAAGGGTGTTAATTATTGATGCCCAAAGCAGTAATTGTTATCTATTATTAATGGGCCGATGTGTTATGCTGTTGTGTTTAGCTGGAAGGCCGGTCCTGCCTCCCCACCTTGCCGGGGCTGGGGGCACAGATTGTCCCCCCCGCCCCACACCCGCTCTGCCTCGGCATCGCTTTGCTGCCCTTGACTTTGGGCTAAAAGGCCTCGGGAGAGGCGAGGACGGGACGGACACCGTCCCTGTCCTGGTGCCAGGGAGAACGGGGTGGTTGTGGGGTGCAAAGCCCTGCCTGGTTTGGGGGAGAGCGGCCGGGGAGGGGAGCAGGGCGGGATCCCGACGCTGTGGGCAGGAGGGAACGGCGCATTTTTACCTTCTGTTCTGGTACCACGTTTTCACCTGCGTGTCGGTGAGGTTGAGGGAGGCGGCCAGTTCCATCCTGTCCTGCACGCTCAGGTATTTTTGCCTCTCGAAGCTGCGCTCCAGCTGGGCCAGCTGATGGTCGGTGAAGGCGGTGCGGGCTTTGCGAGGCTTTTTCAGCCGCACCGGTGGACTGTCCCGGGAACTGGAGATCTCTCGGTCCCCTTCTTCTTTCACTGAGACGAGAGGGAGGAAGAGAGCCAGATCAGAGCAGGAAGGGAATTGCCCTCAGAACAGGGGATGACCCAGTGCAGGTCACTGGACTCGGACTCGGGTCCGAGTGGGGCACGTTTGCTCTGCACCCCCGTAAATTTTAATCCCGGCTGCCCGAGGGAACTCAGGGCCCCCCCGAGCCGGGCTCGGCTTTCCCCCGTCCCGAGGGCCTGGGATCGGAGCAGGAACGTTGGACTGTGTCGACAGAACCCCCGGCCCAGACCCCCCTGATCCCCCTCTCCCCTCATTTCTCACGGGGCAGGACCTTCCTCTGGGTTTATTGCCCCAAACTCAAAAGCTTTCTCGATGCTTGGATATTTTTTCTTTCTTTTTCTATCTAATTTCTCTCTCTCTGTTTGTTTTTTTTCCCTTTTTTTTTTTTTTTAAAACCAAAACAAACTAATCAAAAACGAAAATTACCAGCCCACATTTTTTGGAGGGGAATGTTGTCGTGCTCGTCCTGCCTCTCTCCTCCGTGGAGAAACCTCCGTCCTCCCGGGGATGCTACCGGGGCACGCAACAAATCTCCTTTCTCCAGGGCTCACGAGATACTGGGGAAAGCACTTCCCAAACCCCTGCCCGGGTTGTTATCTTAAAAAAAGGCCGAACGAGAGGGGTTGGTGGCGGTTCGTTTGCGAGGTCGGTACATACACCCGGCAGAGCGGTGCGGGAACTTACGCCGCAAAATGTTGGAAGGCGATCGAAAAATTACGAAGCAGAAACAAAATAAACGAGGAAAAATAAATTCCTGCTCGTGCTCGCCTTCTTCACCCTCCTGGAGGAGATTATGGAGCAAATAGGCTCGATTTATACAAATCGGCGGCGTTTGGGGTTTGTTGGGGTTTTTATTTACAGGGGTTTATGTTAAATTTGCTGATGGCGGGGGTGAGTAGGGACAAGGCTGGAGCCGAACGCGAGCTGATTTCTCTCTGTAGGAAGACAATAATCCGGTTAATTGAGCCACCGGGGAGTGAAACCCTTCAACCAGAAATGCGGGCTCCGGCCGAGCGGGCAGAACGAGCCGGGGACGATCCTTGGGCTGGGAAATGCAGTCCCGGGTCCCGGGAAAGCGGCAGCCCCGACCCGCCGGACCCTGGCAGGGGGATCGGCCCCGCTCTCTCCCGGGAACGGCCCCAAAGTTTGTACGGACTTCTGAGAGGAGCAAAGCGGGCCTGGCCTCCCGCATCCCCAGGAGGAAAATCCCCCCAGACCCCTGGGCTGATCCTCGGCTCCTAAAAAGTTCCTGCTCGCCAAAGGGCCGCAGGAACGGTGGCGACGGCTTCCCTGTTCGGTCCGGCTCGGCCCCTGGCTATTCCTAGCTTAAAAAAAAATGAATATATGTATATACATATAAAAATATATATTATAGGTTTTCCCGGCACTTTGGCCGCTGTGGGTTAGGCCCAGCTTCGCAGCCCCTTTGCGGAGTAAATCTGGGGCGTTTTGCTCCAGGAAAGGTTATTCCAAAGCGGCACAAAAAGAATTGCTCTGGGAGCGGGGATCTTCACCCGCTCCTCCACTGATGCGGGGGTTTTAGCCTCATTTAAACTGTGGTTTCCTTCCTATTTAAACCGGTTTCTGGATTTTTTTCCCCCCGCTTAGACAGCTTTTTCCCCCCCTTCATTTAAGCAGTGAAGATTTTTTTACCCCTGATTTAAGCTGTGTTTCCCTCGCAATTTAAAGGATTTTTTTCCCCCATTTAAACGGCATTTGCAGCGTGGCCGTGGCTGTCCCGCCGCAGGGACAGGAGAGGAGCCGAGGGGCTCTGGGAAACGATCCCTGCCCAAAGCCGAACCCCCGGCCCAGGCTCGACGGGTTCAGGGGGATGAGCAGAACCCGCTTTGCTTTTCTCCCCTCGCTTCTTTCGCGTCTTGGAGATTTGGGGCAAGGGGAGAAGAGCTGAAGGGATTCGGGCCGGGTGTAGGAGGCGAGAACAGCCAGGGTGGGAACCGCGGCTGTTTCCAGGGCCGGCCCTGCAAAGCGGTGCGGCCGATGCTTCCTCCCGGGGCACTTCCAGCCCCGGCACCGACCCCGGGCTCCATCCTTCGTTTGGAGTGAAAATCTCCAAATTCGTGATGTCCAGAACCTGCCGCTGCATTTGGAGGCTTAATTGGGTGAATATTTTTTCCTCCATGAACTAGATTTCAGCCCAGCGGGCCCAGGGTGCATTTCTGGCCGGGACGAGGCTCAGCCTGTCCCCCTTTTTTTCCTGCCAATCCCCCCAAATTCAGCGGCCGCGCAAGCTGCCATCGCCTCCCTTTTCTCCGCCCAGCTGGACGGATACCCTCTCGTTTCCCTCACAAACAGCCGACGACCATTTTACCCTGGGAAAAGTTTTTGCGGAGGTGGTGAGGGTGGGATGTGAGGAGGCACCCGGGTTAAACTGATCCGAGGGGCAAGGAGTCCCAAATCCCCCTGTGCTGTTCCTGTGCCTCTCCCTACCCCGACTGCCGCAGGGAGAGGCCGGGAAGGGGCTGCGGGGGCCCGGGAGGCCGAAGCCCCCTGCCCCACCGGCGCTGTGGATGCGGCCCGGGGCTCCCTGTCTGCACTGCTCGGTTTTGAACGATTTCCAAAATAATAATACAAATAACAAAAATCGAATCAAACCCCGCCGACTAACTTGCTTGTTTCTCACCGGAGCAGGGGAAATACCTGGCAAATCCGTGATGATTTTATTACGGTTTTGGTTTGGTTTGTTTGGTTTATTTGTTTTGCTGGATTTTTTTTCGTTGTTTTTTTTTTGTCTTTTTGGGGTTTTTTTCCCCTCGCAGGCAGAAATTCGTCTCCGCTTCTCCTTTCCCCGCGGGTAGAACGGCACAGTCCGATCTTTGCGGCGGAAGGCGGCCTCGGAGCATTCCCCGGGCGTGTTTAATGAGACCCCTTCCACCGGGCCGAGCCCCACCGAGCCCCGAACCCCCAAGTTTCCCCAAGTTGGTGCCGACCCCTCGGTCATTTCGGGGGTGACTGATCCCGTGACCCCTGAGCGGGTCCGCAGCGAGATCACCGGGGCACCCCCGGGCCGCCCTGCACAGCCCAGCGGGGCAGAGCCGCTCTTACCTTTGTACTCCGAGTCCGAAGAGGAGCTGCTGTTTTTTTCCATTTTCTCCCTAAAATCCTCGCCGGGCTTGGTGGGGATCCTGCACGCCGGCTCCTGCCCGCCGTGAGGTCCATTTGTGCTGGAGTAAGGCGCGCAGGCGGCCAGGGGCTTGCAGTCGGCCAGGATGTCTCTGATGAGGAAGGAGGAGGTGACGGTCCGGGACTGCGAGGGAGCCGAGACCTGCCCCGGCTGGAGATGCGCATCCAGGCCCGGCCGCGGCACCGCCGCCTCCGGGCACTCGCGGCCCGGTGAGCGGGGCGAGGGGCACCCGCTGCTGCCCTCCGAGCGGGGGCTCAGCTCCAGCGGGGACCGGCCGTCCCCCACCACCGGGTCCCCCTTGGGCACGGCCGGGCTGCCGGCTCGGTGGGAGAGGATGGAGTCGATCCCAAAGCCGGTGGAGCCCTCCATGGCCCCCGCGAGGTGCCGGCGCTCACACGGGCATTGGCGGGGAGGGCGCGGCGGAAGCGGGTTAGTAATGATAATTAACAATAACAGGAGGGAAAAAACAAAAAGACGAAAGGAAAAAAAGAACAAAAACGAACAAGGTAAAAAGGAAAAAAAAAAAAAAAAGAAAAAAAAAAAGAGCAAAGTTCAGTCTGGGATCCGGGCAACAATTGCTGCAAGGCTCTCTGAGGCGCCGCGCGTTAGATCCAGGGCTGCTCCGTCTTCAGCATCGCGCCCAGCTGCACTCACAGACAGACAGGAGAGGAGGGGAGAGGGAGGCAGAGTCAAACTTTGGCCGCGAAGGGGGTGGGGTGAGGGGGGGACGAACCCCAACCTCACCCGAGGTCCCGGCCACCCCACCCGTGCCCGGAGTCACGCCGGCATGGGGCTGGGGGGCAGCCCGGGGGTTTCCAGCCGGAGGTGGGGAGGCAGCGATCGATAGTGAAGGGTTCGCAGCGCTTTAACCACTTAATGATCCAGAAATCAATGGGGAGGGCGAGGGGAGGGCGGAGGGGGTGGCCAGTCTCCGGGCCGCCGCGGCGCCCCCCTTCCCCGCCAGCACCTCGGACAGCGCCGGGGGGGAACCGGAGTCACTCCGGAGCCAGCAGCACCTCGGACAGCGGCGGAGTCGCTCCGGAGCCGGCGGTGCCTTCAGCACCTCGGACAGCGGCGGGAGCTCGCCGGGGGGGAGCGGGGGAAATGGAGAGAAAAGCTGAACTTGGGCCGCTGCAGCTGGGGGACCCCCGCACCCCCAACACACCCCGTGCCAACGCGCCCATTGGCCGCCAGGCGTTTTGGGGGATGTCACTCCCCAACAGGCGACACCTCGGAGCTTGATTAACGGGAATTAATTGTTGCCCGGATCCCCGCGCTTTCCGGGCGGTTTCCGCCCTTTTTTGCTGTCATTAGCCCGCTGATGGGGTCCTTAATGGGATGATTAGCCGCGGAGGGCGGGGGGTGTGCGTTGGGTGGGTTATCGAGGGGTTACTGCTTTCTCCGTGCCTCCCCCCGCAATGAGCTGATCTGCCGGTCCCTCCCGAGCACGGAAAGTTTTGCTGGGCGTCAAAATTAAAACAAAAAAAATTTAGGGGAAAAAAAAAAAAAGGGGGTGGGGGCACCGAAAAAAAAAAGCACCGAAACCTTCCCAAAACCCCCAGCACTGAGGCGGCTGCTCTGAGCCCGAGATGAGCTTCGGAGCTGCGAATTTCGTTGCATGCCCTGGAAATCGGTTGTGGCCGAGCAGAGACGTCCACGGGGACGCCGGGGAGCCGCGGCTCCTGCCCAGCGCTGCCGGGGCGGCGAGGACCGGGCAGCGCTCTGCCCGCTCTGCCTGCGCCCGGCAGGACCTACTGGTGCAACTGGGAAGGGACCGCACTTAGAGCGGATTTTTTTTCTGCCGTCAATCGCATTTTAAATAAAACCCCGATGGCCTCAGGCAGGGCTGCCCCGTCCTGCCTGTTTCTGCCGGAGACACCAACTTTCCTCCCTCCCGCCCCGTCGGGGTGTCTGCTATTGTTGTTCTCCCAGGCTGGAGAGGGACAGGCTCACGCAGGATTCCCACCTTCCTCGCGGTCAGACTGGCTGCTCTCTCCTCGAGGGTTTATTTAGGGGCTTTTCCCGTGGATAGACCCTTCGCCGCGGCGATAGGAAAATGTCCACACCCGGGTGCGTGAAGCGGCGTCACTTTAAAGCGATGTCACTGGTTATTTCTCAAATACTCGATTTCTTCTGTTCCCCACCTTCCCGGCCAGTCAGCTGCATCTTGTCCCTCTTCCAAAACCGCCCTTGGCTGGCAGCTTGGAGGCGACCAAGGAGGGGAGAGCCCCCCTGGGGAAGCCCGGCTGCCAGCTGTCGGGCAGCGGCGCAGGCAGGGCCCCCAGCACCTCCTGCCCTCGGCCCTGCACGCTCGGGGCCGGCTGCGATCGGGGCAGTGGAACAAAAGAACTTTAGAGGAGGACAAACCCAGGAACAAAATCAGTATCAGTCCCGGTCCCAGCGTGCCCACACCTCGGGGATGAAACACGCCCGTGCTGGGCGCTGCTCATCCTCCCTGTCCCTAAGTGAGGGGTCTCTGCTGATGCTCTGCCCTGTCTCCCTCCCAGCACAGAGACCCGGGACAGGGGGCCAGGTCGGTTTTGCAGTGTCCACCATCCACAAGGCTGGGCCAAGTGTCCCTTTGGGCTGCACCAGAGCAGTGGATGTGCAGGAACTGGTCCTGGTGAGAAATGGTGCCAAGACACAGATGGGGTTTGCCAGCTCCTTGCAGTGTTTGTGTTGGTTCTTGGACTCTGGCAGCCTCCCAGTTCAACCAGGAGACCACGTTTGGGTTGGAAATTTGCACTGGGATCAGGATGAGTGCTGAGGTTGTTTTGGGACCAGGAGCAGGACTGGAAAAGGCAGCAGAGCTGGGAGTGAGATCAGAATCAGGATTTGGATCAGTCATGCAGGGACAGGTTTTGGCTGGTGAGTCTTGCTCTTGAATAAAGCACCTGCCTTCAAATAACTACAAGGAAATCCCCAGATTAGATCGACTTCCTGATGATGTGCAAGATTTCGGGAGGTATTTGTGTGTGGGGTACAGTCCTCATCCCAGAGCAGGTTCTGAATTATGCCATGCCCAGCCAAGGCCCTGGGGACAGATGTGTCACTCCTAAGCCATACTCAGGGGTCCCAGCAGCTACAGATGCACTGCTACTCATCTTCTAATGACACTAAAAATATTATTATTATTAATACTATAATTTCAGAACTAGACTCCCCAAGGCAGAAATGTGCCCCATTCTGCTCATATGTGGTGTACCTCCTACATAACCAGACCCCGGACAAGTGGGATTCCAATGATTTTTCTGTGGCTCCCAGCACAGACAGGAAATCCTGTGCACAGACCACTGAGCAGTGCACACTCCTTCCCTCTGTGTGTCTGTCCTTAAACCCTAATTTTCAGGCTGCTCCTGTTTACAAATACATCAGTCAAGAGATCTCTGATCCCAACTGCATTTACAGTCACCTCCTCACAAGCCTCAGTCACAAACCAGGGGTGGATTTAAGACTGGGACAGCTTTGGGAGTTGCTGTTCATGCCACCCCCTTGGGTGCTGCTGATGGACAGGGCTGGGCTCTCCTGGTTCCTGTCACCAGTGCAGGTTTGGCCTTGGGGCCAAGGGGCAGGGCTGAGCCAGAGGCTTTGGCTGCGGGACCCCTTCCACAGCTGCACCAGGGGATGCTGAGCTGTGGTGACTGAGCAAGAGTTAATCCAGAAATATCTGCTGGCGATGCACAGCCCGGTGTCCTGGAAGGGACTGGCTGAGGGAGGATCCCCGGAGGTTCTGCCGCACCCAATCTCCTCCTGAAGGCCGGCTGGGTGCTCGGGCAGGCCGTGCCCAGCGGCGCAGCGAGGGATGCTCGGCAGCGACGGGCTCCGCTGGGATGCTCCGGTAAGCAAACGAACGCATCGTCAGGAGAGAGAGGAGGGCTGGGCTGGGGGCAAGCGGCAGAAAGGGGGAGGACAGGCAGCCGGGGGCGGCCGAGCCGGGGAGGAGCCGGCTGGGGGAGCTGCAGCAGCGGCGGAACCCCGTTACCGGTGGGTGTCACTGCAGGACAAGGAGCGGGGGCGGCGGGGGGACCGGGACCCCGCACGGGGCTCAGCCGGCCCTGGGGCAGCGGGACCCGCTGGCTCACGGCTCGGGCCGGGCAGGGTCGGGGTGCGGGGGGCTGCAGGGGCAGGGATGCTCCGCCCTGCCCCTCCGAGCTGCCACGCTGGGGACATTTGGGGCACGACCTTGCCCAGCATTTCGGTGGCAGCGGGGCAGATCTGTGGGCTCTGAGCTGCACTGAGAGGTGTCTCCTGAACGCACTTTATTTATCTGATGATTTTCGGGTTTCTGTTCTCTTTGCTGGTTCCCTGAGCTTGTCCCAACCAGCAGCTCTACGGGGGCTCGGTTCACAGCGTTCTGTGCCAGCCCTTCCCAGCCAGGCAGGACATTTTGGAGGTGCTTCCTTCCCTGAGCACACCCCCGGGACCTCAGAGACTGCTGCAGGAGGACACAGACGCTGTGGCTGGGCTGAGAGCTGGATGTGGCTCCCAGCAGGCAGAAGGACAAACCTCATGCCTGGATTTCTCACACTCTCATAAACAGTGTCATTTTTAGCAAGACAAGTCATTTAAGGCTCAGCTTCCTCCCTCCCTGAGGAGGTGGGAAAGGTCTTTGGTTATAATCCACCTCTGCCAGCTTGGCAAACCCTGCTGTTATCCCCCTCATGAGTTTAGATGGGTTTTATCTAGAGGCCTGTACTAAAAAGAGGCAAACACATAGCAAGGTTTTCCTGGTGTGGAGCAGGTGATTTTGTTCCTCCCTCAGCTCTGGTGTGGGCAGGGTGGAGTTCGTTACAGCTCCTTCCTTATGAAAGGGCAGGGTGAGGTACAAGCTGCCCTAAGGAAGGGGGTGTGGGAAGTGCTGGAGCAGGTACTGGTGAGCCATCATTGTCCTGTGGGGTAAGAAATCTGCCCTTGCAGTTTACTTTGTTGTTTCATCATTACATGAGCAATGTAATGTTCTAAAGAGCTCTTCTCTTTGAGGTTTGGCTGGAAATCTGAGGAGCAATGAGCCCTGAGCTCAGCACAGGTTCTTCATGTCCTTTGGCTGCTGGTGGCTTTGTGTAGGGCTGGGTTAATCCCAGTGCCAAGGTGTGGGTTGCAAAATTATGCTGGCACATCCACCTGAGCTCAGGATGCAGTTGGGACTGCCCAGCAGATGTCATCTCCCAGAGCTCTCCAAGTGCCAGTGGGAGGGTGAATGTGAAAACTGGGAGAAAATTTGACTTAAAAAGCTGGTAAACTCTGAGCTGTAATGGTAGATGTGAGAAACAGACTACATAAGTGTTATTAATTATTCCTTTAGCAATAATGGAGATCCACATTTTAAATAATGGCACTTTTAGCCTAGTAGTATTTGAAGTGAAGTGCTCTGTTGGGAGAAGGTGGATTCCAAATGTGCTGGTTCCTGGCTGAACCTGTGTGGTCACCTGTAGGTTTGGGTGCTGTGATGTTGAGTTTGTGTTGGTAAGGTTTGAGTTTGTTCAGTGAGTGCTTGGAGAGGCTCAGCCCTGAGGTGCTCCAGGCACCAGCAGCTATTGGAGGGTGAGTGTGGAGCTGGCTGGAGCCACCTTGAAGCAGAGGCATTGCCTGTGGTGAGCCCCCAGTTTGGCAGGTGTTTGAATTCCTTCACACAGGCAAGGGCTTTGCTGAATCAGACACTGATGGGAAGTTTTTTTGGCAAAGAAATGAGGACTGATGAGATATTACAGATTTGATACTAGCTAGGATATGGCTGCATCCACTCTATTTGTCCAGAGCCAGCAGGGAAGGAGCCTGTCCTGCCCTCCTGTGGGGCTGTGCTGGTGTAAGCACTGCCCTGTTCCTGAGTATTGTGAGAATTGTGCTGTGCACCTGACAAGAAGCAATAAACAGGCTGAGACAGAATTGTTCCTCTTATATTTATGATTTATTTGGCTATATATGCATTAGCATAACTCTGTAAAACCTGAGAGAAAGTCTATTGCATGTGAAATCCTGGGGTCCGAGGGCTGTGCCCAGCACGGTCCTTGCTGTGGGGCCCTCTGGGGAAAGGGACCACTCACAGGCACCCCTTAATGGGAGGCACTGAGAGCCTTTTTACGGGACTCAGGGTCTGGAAAAGTCCTGAGATGAGGCTCAGCCTGTGAGGAAAGGAGCAGAGAGAGGATTGGTTACAGCCAGGAGCCAGCCACAGAAAATAGGTTGAAGTACAGACAGGGAGGAGACTGCAGATTGCACAAGGGCTTTGGCCTGATTGGGAGATGTTGCTCCAGCTGAAGTGAAACACTTAACCTGCTTAAAACAAGGAGTAGCTTTCTGATTGACTTCAGGAGACTCTTATTCTGCTCTAGCAACAAAACCCTATAATTTTATTGTGGTGTGTTTGTTGTCTGACATTTTCAAAGGCTGCCATGCCCTGAGGTGGGTCCTGAAATAAATATGACTTGTTTTCTACAACACAGGACCTGGGTGCTTCACTGAGGGGCCAGGAAGGGCTCAGAGCTCCCAGAGGAGTCCCTGGTGAGGTCAGGGGCTCTTACACGACTGTCCCTAAAAACACAGAAGCAGCAGCTCCCCAGGAATCACCTTTGAGTAGGGACAGGATAAAAAAATAAAACAATAATCAAAAGGGAAGTAACTGAGGGGTAGAAAGGTCCCAGGACCCTTTGGGGTGAGCAGTGGGGCTCACACACAGCTGTGTGCAGCAAACCTGCACAGGAGATTCTGAGACTGGAGCATTTTCCATGGGGGGCCACAGGCTCTGCCTGCCCCAGCACAATTCCCTGTGCCATACATCTGCCTCGTGTGGCTGTGCTGAGCTGCTTCCCACTTCCCCCACCCTGCTCAGCCTGGCTGGATGTCAGGTTTTGCATATGTAAAAATACAGAGCAGTCTTTGCCCTGAAAAGCTTGCTAGTGATCTCATTAATCAAGACAAACAAAGCATATTTAGCTATTCCCCCTCTCTGGAGGAAGGCATTCAGGTACTTAAATATGCATTTGAGTGCCTAACTTCAGACAGCTGTTTCTGGATGTTTTTGCTTTCTCACAAATAGCAGCAGTGATATAACCCCTCTTGGGGAGGGAGTGGTGTGGAAGGCAGAACCAGGGGCTGCTGAAGTTGGTGGGTAACCCCAGAGAGCTGGCAGGGACAATGCCTGGTTGTTCCAACTCCAACCTGCCATTAAAGATGCAGCAGTTTTCCCCTTGGAGCTGGGATTGATAGAAAAAATCCAGTGCTTGCAGGTAAGGACAGCTGAGCTGCTTCTCATTGAATTCTCATTGAATGTGCCTCTGCCTTCCTGTTGTGCTCCCTCATCCAGCAGTGCTGGGAACTGGGCACAGGGACATTTCTGCCTGGGATGGTGTTGATGCTATAGGAGAGGAAACAGCAGTTTATTCACTCTTATCTTGGTACAAAGCTCCTGGGTGAGAAATGTCCCACTGAGCCACAACTGGCAGTGATTGAGGTGAGCAGAGCCTTGAGGAAGTTGTGAGGGATGCCAGTTCCTGCCCTCATCAGGAGTGAGTGGGAGGCACCAGGTGCAGGACAGGGGCAAGTGCTGTTATAATAAATGAGAAACCCTCCCAGTCATTAGAGTCCAGATGAGGGTGGCCTTGGGTCAAAGGTCTTATTATCACAGACACTGGAGTTGAGCAGTCAATGCCAGTGATGAATCCTCATCTCTGGTTCTTCTAATTCATATTTTAAATGATGAACCCAAAGGTACCTCCTCTAGAGACAGCTGATGATCTCTGTCATTACTCTGCTGCAGTTATGGGTGGCTATGCCAGGATTGTGTTTGGAGCACTGGCTGCAGCAGGACAGGAATATGGTTTGTAGGAAAAAGCTGAAAGGTTTTCCTTGCAGGATGATGGAGCTGCCATGGGCTCCAGCTGCTGCTGAGGAGCAATGCTTTGCTGCTGTTCATTGCATTTGTTAGTGACAAATGAAAGCCTGCAGGACCCTTGCAGCTGGCACATTGTGAGGTCAGTGTTTGCTTCACAGAATTAGAGGGGGAAGAAAAATAATTACCACTCCTAAAACTTAAATATGTGTTTGGGGGGCATTATCTTTAAGGTTTCACAGTTATAATAATGTATTAAATTGGAGGATACATTAAGGCAGATGTGTAATTGAGGCCTGATAAATTGCATGTGAGATGCAGAAAGGCCAAGCTGGTGCAGGGAAGTTAGAGCTCCCCCGATGGTGGCAAACCCCAGAGAGCAAGCAGGGTTTTGTGGGCTCCATAACTGCTGGGCCCTGTGAGCACCCCTGGTTACAAAATAAACTCAGCTTATGGGGGGAGTTTTAGTTACTAGAGCAGCATTTAATGGTTTGTGGTGATGAGAGAACCCATGGAAAGGCCTGAAGCGAGTAATGAACAGCACCAGGCTCTCCTCCCAGCCTGGAAGGATCCATGGGGATGTGGCTGTCCCTGTTCCTCTCCCAGTACCTGTGTGGCTCTGCCCACCTGCTCCCAGGCAGCTCCCCAGCCTTGCAGCATTTTTCACTTTAACAACAAAGCTACACTGGGACTCAGCCATGTTCCTCCATCATCCATTTGATCGAATCCTTTTAGCGGGTGACAAAACACTTTCCTGTGCTCACTTTACAGGAAACCAATCTCTCTTCTTTTTATTTTTCTTTTCTTTCCCAAACCCTCCTTCATTTACAGGAGTCTAACAAATCCTGGGGCTTCTTTTTTTCTTTTCTTTTTTTTTTTCTTTCTCTGCCGAAACAACACAAAACGGTGGAATTTTTTTTTTCAGGAAAGAGAGGGAGTAAAATAAACAATACAGAGAGGTAGGGTGCAGACACTGACGCTCAGCACGCCGAGCATCTTTCTACAGACAAAATAATAATAAAATAAAATAAAAAAAAAAAACCCCAACCCTGCGCGCGCGCACATCGGGATGCAAATGATTTTCCGTGAAGCCACCGCTTGTAAAGCTTGACAGAAAATAATGAGAAACACTAAATCTTTTATAAGGTCAACACTCAAGCAGCTGTCAAACAAGAAAAGAATTTAGCGAAAGATCCGCAAAAACTTCCATCGCCTCATTAAATCCAACAGGGCCGGGGCCCGGCGTGGTGAGGAGGCACCGGGGCGCCTCCGTTTTGTGTCAGTAATTTGTGGCGGAGGAAGAGCGGAGAGCAAACAGCGAGCGCCGAAGGGGCCTTGGGGGAGGCTGGGGAATCGTTAGTGCGCCAGGAGCGGCCTCCGCTCCTAATTGGAAGCATTGGGCATTATCAACGGAGGATTTGCCTCGGCTCCCTGACAGCTCTCTAGGCCTGGAATGATAGCCCACTTGTCAGTGTAAAAGACCATTAAAAACAAACCATTTTGATTTAATTGGAGGCGGTGTGCTGGGGGCCCAGGTGAGGCGCTTCATCAGCCGATGTTGGCTGCTGATGCCTTTTTCCTCCTGTATTGATGGCTTTTTTTCTTTTTCTCCCCTCCCTTTCAAAAACTGTCTAGGAAAGAGAAAGAGGTGCTGAAAGATCCTTCACAGCCGCATCGAGAGCGGCTTTCAATAGGGTTGTCAACAAATGCCATGACAAGTTAGAGAGAGGCAGGTACTTTTAAAACAGACATTATTCTGTCCAAGATGAGCTGTGTTCAGAGGTGAGTGTTGGATTATTAGGGTTACAAATAATGTGGCTTTTCCTGCCAGGAGAATGCTTAGCTGACTTAATGAATGGGGTTGATTTTTCTCTCCCCACCTTTCTAAGAACAGAGGGAAATGCAGGACAAGGGAGCCTGGGCTAAATGATCTTTATTTGCTTCAAGCCCAGGAAGGTTTCAAACAGTGCTTGGCAATTTTGGGATGCTGTATTTAATGTCCCATGGTGATTTGGGTTGGGGTTATTTTTTCCCTTCCTGAAAATAATGGCCACAGATATTTGCTGGGGTTCACTGGTCATTTGGTCTGGACAACAGCATGAGGAAAGAAGAATTAACCTGCTGCAGCTGTAACCTGGTGTGTGCCCCCCACCTCCCTGGCAGATGTTTCAGGGTCAGACCAGAGCTAGCAGCTTTCATACTGACCTCATGTTCTTGACATCTGAATCCTGACACTTTTCATGCCAGGGAAGAGTTTTACTTAAAGTTGTCTTGATAAATAGCATCTCTGCAGAAGTCACCACAGGGCCATGAATGAAACCCCAAATCCATGTTAAAAGCATTTCCATGGAGCTGTGTACTGGGAGCAATGGCAGGTGCTCACCCATAACCCAACACAGCGTGTGTGGTTTCACCCTGCCACAAGCTGTGAGCACCCAAAACCTGTTCCCTCATGGGTGAGAATCTCCAGAAGAGCAATGGGAATTGGTTGCCAACTGTTCCTTGTGCTGCCTTTGAATACTGGGGCTTGGTTGTAGGTGGAGCCTGTCCTGGAGATGAGCTAGGCTGTAAAGGTGCACAGGAGAGAGTTGTTTTCCTGTGTTAATCAGGAGATGTCCAGAGCAATAGAAATGACAGAGGAGTGATGGTCACTCTGTCTCTGAGGGAGACACAAGGAAGTGCTGAGCATGGCAGGTAATGGTTTTTACTAAGAGAAGGTCAATTGGGATAAGATATAAGTTTTTTTACAATGAGGATGTTGAAATACTTGGACACGTTGCCCAGAGAGGTGATGGATGCTCCATCTCAGGAACACTCAAGGTCAGGTTGGATGGGCTCTGAGAAACACAATCTGCTTGAGGATAACCCTGCTCCCTGTGGGGGGAACTGGACTAGATGGACCTTAAAGGTTCCTTCCAAGCCAAAATATTCTGTGGCAGCACTGGGTGGGATGAGAGGTTGAGTGTCCAGGGCATAAGGGCTAGTGGGAAAATCTGGATCACGAAAATGCTTTGCTGTGATTTGAACAATGGTATTGCTGGAACCTTTGGCTGTGGAGGCAAAAAAAGAAAACCTCCAGAAGCTGCAGGGAAATGTAGTGATGGTGACAGGGGCCCAGAGCCTGCAGGTAGCCATGGAAGGGCTGTGGGGTGCGAGGTGACATCTCTGATGTGGCCCCAGAGGAGATGTCCAGGGATCATGCCCAGGGCAGCAGGGGCTGTGCTGCCTGTTTGGAACCCTGCAGGGTGTTGTGGTCTCTGTTTGCATTGTGCCTGCCACAGGCCAGTGCTGCTGCTTTGGATTGTTACTGCAGGGCTCGCAGCCACCAGCTTGTGTCACTTGGGCCACTGAACAACCATCAGCTGACACTGATTTTAATTCTTTTTGGTCAGTCAAAATCCCAGCTGAAGGGAGGATTGATCTGGTAGTGTGGTGACAGGAAGCTCTTGAACTTACTGCTTTATTTTTTAAGCACTATTTAGGCCCCAGGAGAGGAGTTTTATAACACTCCAAGTTCCAGAAGTTTTTTTGCCCTCAAACCCAGGAGGACCAATGCTGCACCTGAACAGCCAGCCCTGTGTGCTGTGTGTATCAAGCCCAGGTTATTTAAGCAGAATCTGTGGCTTTTCTGACAAGACAACAGCTGCAAGATTACATGAGCTGTGCTTGTCAGTTCAGCTCTATAGACAAAAATAGAGGTAAGGCATTAAAAAGAAATGCGGAACATTTTTGTGTGTACGTGTTAAACCTCAACTGTTAATTCTGACGAAGGATCAGGCTGTGAGCAGATATCAGATCCCTGGTGAGAATCAAATTCTGGAGCCCAGAATTTTTGCTGCAAAGTTTATACAGTGGGGATTCCTCTAATTACTTTCAGTGGAAATTTACCTGACAGAGCTTTCCCAGGTAATGCAAGGCATACGCGGGAGAGCCGCTCAGCCGTTGACAGAGCCTTTGATTTTGTGCCAGGTTGCAAATTAAGTCTTTTGCCAAGGTACCCGAACACTTGCTCGTCAATTGCTTATCGCTTATTCATATTGCGCGTTTCATCTGCTCGGGGCGCCAGCGCACAAAAGTCTTGTCCAAAGTTGCTGCATTTTCTTTCCTTCCCCTTGCTTGGTCAAGTAAACAAGCCACCTGAGCATCTCTGTGAGCTGGGATTCTCTAATGAGCAAAGGAAGAACCCTGGTGTGTGTCAGTGACAGGAGGTGCATGGATTTGTTTTGACACGTTGGTGAATTCTGTCCCGTGTTGCTGCTTTGTTGCTATCCTGAATCCTTCTTGGCTTGATGGAGCTCTGGAAATATGTTGGGGGTGGCCAGCATTGACTTACTGGTTTGGATAGTGACTGTCAGACATTCAGATGGAGGTGACTGGAGCCTCACCCCAGCCTGGCACAGGTGGAGATGCTGCATTTGGGCAGCAATGTCCTTTCCAGAGTTTGGCTGACACCTGAGCCAGCAGGTGAGGAGTGACACAAGGACAGGACATATCCACTGAACATAGGGGACAGGAGGCCAGGAGAATTGGGATTGTTCGGTCTGGAAAAGAGAAGGGTTTGTGGTGACCTGAAGGGAACTTAGAGGAAAGATGGGGAAAGACTATAAGAGCCTGGGATGACAGGACAAGGAAGAATGGGTTCAAATTGAAAGAGAGTAGCTTTAGATTACATACTGGAAAAAAAAATTTCCCTGTGAGGGTGGTGAGGCATTGAAACAGGTTGTCCAGGGAAGCTGTGGCTGCCCCATCCCTGGATGTGTTCCAGGCCAGGCTGGATGGAGCTCTGAGCTAGCTGGTCCAGTGGAAGATGTCTGTTCATGGTAGAGGGGTTGGAATGAAATGATCTTCAAGGTGCATTTCCAACCCAAACCATTCTATGATTTATGTCCATGCTGGGTGCCTGAGAGTACACTCCCCAGGAAATGTAGTCCCACATCTACAAATAAATTAAGTTTTGGTGCACAGTCCCAGCCATGCTGGCAAAACCTGAGCCCTGGAATTGTCACTTCAGGCAAAGCAAGGCAGAGGCTGTTTGCTTTGAGGAAGAGGAGGGCAGTAGAACCATCTTGCTGATGTGAATAAGGAGTTAACATCTGCTTGGCTTAGTTAAAAAAAAAAAAAAACATACAAAAAAACCACTTAAATG